TTTGAAGAGCAGTGGTTTGTTTATTGTTGCAATAAATTCTTTTGACTGCGACAATCTTTTTAATTCTACACAATGTAATATAAAAGTTGTGAACTTCCTTAACTTACTTAACCTCAATGAACAATCTTTTAGACTGCACATTTGTATCAGGATGCATTAAAAAAGTTTGCACACAATTTTAAACTTAATTATATTCTGAAACTCATATAACCTCTATCAAAAAACCATAAGCGCAATATAATCTGGTAATAAACCCCCTTTTTCCCCCTCTCCCTCCTTTCCCCTCCCCTCCCTTCATATAATCAAAATTTTCTATCAAAATTGCTAAACTATTTTTAGATTTAATAGACAAGCACTTCCCAATTGGCCATAAATACCACAAGATTTTAAATAGAAATACTCTAAAGGTGAGTTACAGTTGTATGCCAAATATCAAATCAATTGTTAATTTTTATAACCATCATGTAATAAAAAACAACTCCCCAGACTCCAATAAACATTGCAATTGTGGCCGTAATTTAATGCCACAAACAATGCAAACTCTACTAGACCTTTCTTTTCTTGAACAGTCAGAGTGAGCTGATCTTGTAATATTACCATATTCAAAGCGTAGATGGCTATTGACATTCATCGAGCATGATGCATTTCTTCTGAAACTAGAAATTTTATCTCAGTACTAACAGTCTCCCACTAGAACGGCCAGGAATAACCAAAGTAGTTCAATGTAATCCTCAGATATTGCTGGTTCAAAAGAAACTGTGGACTGCAAAGCAGTCCACAGTTTTATTAGAAATGGTTTAGAGAGACTGCTAGAAGTTCCAAAAATTGGAAGAGGAACAGGCAAGGAACAAGCAGTAGCTTGCTTAAAGATTTTGAATGATTGGAAAATTGGAAACAAACTTCAGGGTTTAGTCTTCAACACAACCTTGTCTAACACAGTTATCCACAAAGGAGCTTGTGTTGTCATTGAGGAAGCAGCTGGTAGTGAGTTAGTTAATATTCAAAAAGAAAAACTTTATTTTATAAATAGTCATCTTGACCAGTTTTCTGAAAATCTTGTGACTAAATGTAAATGAAGAGCAAAGAAAGCGATCCTAGCATTTCAAATTTTTTTTTTTTTTTTTTTTTTTTTTTGTTAATTCACCTCCTCAAGGCCAAATAGGCTATTACAGACAAGGAGGCTACTTATTTGTGGTTATATAACCCTCCTCAACTCTATAACTCCAAAACACGAACCTTGATGAACAAGGCCGCTGCGCGGAGAAACGAGTTGAGTGCAGTACTACTAGGGACGTGGTGGGGATTGAACTCGGAACCTCTCGCTTATGAAGCGAGCGCTCTACCACTACACCACTACCGCATGAGTTTCAAATCTGTTTTTTAGAATTATTTCTAACAATTTGCAAAATAAAAATATATTTATTGCAAAAAATCTGATGCTTGCCATAAAAATTTATATATATATATATATATATATATATATATATATATATTATATATATATATATATATATATATATATATATATATATCAGGCCTCGGCAGGAAGTGAGAGCTTTAGCTCTAGCTCTCGTCCACACTCCCCTAAAACAGTTTACAGGAGCAATTTATGACTCCTGTAAACCGTTTTACAGGAGTCATAAATTGATGATACAAAAGTATAATTATCGTTGAAGTTAAAATAAAGAGAGCTTTTCTCCGCTCATGTGCTCATTTATTCTCCGCTTTTAAGAGAGCTTTTCTCCGCTCATGTGCTCATTTATTCCCGCTGAGGCCTGATATATATACAGTGAACTCCTGATTACTCAAACCTCCAGGGGGACTAGTAATTAGTTCGAGTTAGTGAATGTTTGAGTTATCGGGACATTCTATATATGTCAAATTTTTGCAGATAATTGAAAAATTTTTTTTATTCGTCTAAAATTCTGATAAAATAAGTCATAGAATATAAAATCTCTTTATGACACTTTTTTGATTGATATTTTGAAAGCTGAAAAAATTTAAATAATTAAAAGAAAATTTATCACTTTTAATAAGGCTTTGTTGTTATATTTTTTTAAAGTACGAGTTATCAACATAATATCAGTCACGTGGCCAAATAAAATGGTTCGACTTGAATTACTGCGAACCTTTGAGTTATCAGGATTTTGGGCTATCGAGTGGTTTTTATGGGAAAGTATTAGTAAGGGTTCAAATAGAATCCAAAAGTACTTTGAGTTACTGAAAGTTCAAATTATCTGGGGTTTGAGATATTGATAGTTCACTCTATATACATATATATATATATATATATATATATATATATATATATATATATATATATATATTATATATATATATATATATATATATATATATATATATACATATATATATACGTATATATATATATATATATATATATATATATATATATATATATATATATATATATATATATATATATATTATATATATATATATATATATATATATATATATATGTATATATATATATATATATATATTTATATATATATATATATATATATATATATATATATATATATATATATATATATGTATATATATATATATATATATATATATATATATATATATATATATATATATATATATATATATATATATATATATATATATATATATATATATATATATATATATATATATGGCTAATTCCATAGTTCAGTGATGCATCAAGCGAAGAGATTTTTTTAAATAAAACTTCTTCTATAACTCAAAAATAATTTTTTATTACTCTAAATCAATCTTAAATTAAAATTTTATACTATAAAATAAACTTAAATTAATTTAATTAAAATTTTATACTATAAAAGTATAGCACTGACACATAACAAAAATTAAAACATGAGTTCAGTGACGCAACGCGGAAAAAAGTGTTTTTTTTATCAGCATACTTTTAAATGGAGTTCTCGCTGAAATTTTAGTTCTTGCTAGGCTAGTTAGACTTTTTTTATTATAAATTATTCATTTAGCAATAAGGCAGTCATAAAAAAAGCCACAAACAATAAAGTTTTCATATCGTTTTATTTTACAGAAAAAAACTACCAGTTTAGTGATGCAACATTCAGTGACAACAAAAAGATGAAATTAAAATCATTTTTAAAAGTTTTTTTATTTTGTAATAAATTTTAATTATACTCATGTGAAAATAGCATCAGAACAATGTTATCATTCTGAACATAAAAATAATGTGATTTATCTTTGATTTTTCTTGAATAACTTAAAATTGAACTGAATCTAAATTCATTTTTTTGTGTTCTTGTGTCGTTTTCTGACATATGAATTAAAAATATTTGTAAATCTTGTAATGTTAACGCAAAATCTGCTGCTGACCTGATCTCGCATTGACTGGATTTAACTTTCAAGGCTGCGATTGGCTTAATAGTAACTCCTATTCTGTCAACCACTCCTTTCCCGTGCATCGCTGCAAAGAAATACCAGTAGAATTTTTTATGAAAATGTTTTTCGAACACAACCATAATGCTTTTGTTTTTGAACTGAGAAGTGGCATTATCGTCGAACATGTGTACTTCTTTGACTTGATCAGGAATGAAGTGAAGGATTTTGTCAATGTATGGTATAACGAAAGACTTTGTATGATGAGTTAAATTAGAATCAGCTTTGAACATTCTGGAGGTAGACCCAAATTATCTTTACAAGCAGAGCTATTTGAAAGAATAGAAAGAATTTCAGATTATTTCTTCTTTGAAGTTGGTAGTGCTTTTAAAACTTTTTAATGCTTTTCCTCTTTGTTGAACCTTTTTAAAGAATGAGCTTGGTCTTTGATATTGATTTAAAAGTTTTCTTTCTTCGAGCGCGACTTTTTGAAACTCTTAATTTTGCTTTAGCAGCATAAGCTACTTTTTTAATAGGGTCGGCTTTCAATTTTTCTCGATATCTCTTAGATCTTACTCTAGACATTTCTTTCTTTTTATCAGCATTTCGAGAAACATAATTAGCTTGGTATTCTGCATAACGTTTTTTTTTTTTACTTCTAATTTTGATTCCATTTCTTAAAAAATTTTTAAGAAATGGAATCAAAATTAGAAGTAAAAAAAAAAACGTTATGCAGAATACCAACATTTTCTTAGAAAGTTGTACATTTTTAAAAAATGTACAACTTTTTAAGAAAATGTCAACATAAATCCAATAATTTACAAATATTTACTAAAAGCCCTTCACAATACTAAAATGATAAACTTATTTAAATAAAACCCGCAAGGAAATCTGAACATTTGAATGATATTTTGACTTCCTTACTACGCTATTTTATATTTATTTAATTGGTAACGCTAATTATCTGATTGATAGGTTCAGTGGCGCAACAGCTTTTAAATGATAGCTTTAAGTTTATATAATGCTTCTTAATTTTTTTTGAATAGTGATGAAAAGTTTACATTAAAATATATAATTTCTAAAGAAACTTTGCCTTAAAGCCTAATTTCATTGCGATAATTAAACTTTTTTAGCTTTTAGTTCAGTGACACAACTTTGTGACAAAAAAACACTTGAATTATTTTTAAAGAGTTAAGTTTTTTTGCTCAAGATATAATCTCAAAGATTCTTTTTCTAAACAAAAATATAGAAAATTTTTGTTTAAAATATTGCAATAACTTGCCTTCAAATTTTACTCACGTTTACACACATTCATCAAATTTGTCTACTCGGTTTGAATATTTTCTACTCAAAATTTATTTTAACAATAATTTTAAGGTGTTTACACTACAATTAAAGAAAAAAAGTTATTTGAAAAAAAAAATATTTAAACACAAAATTTTTTTCTCTTCCATCGTGGAAATGCCAATATATATATATATATATATATATATATATATATATATATATATATATATATATATATATATATATATTTATATTTATATATATATATACACAGTTTTGATTATGCTATTTTTAAAAAAATGGCTTTTTACATTTTTTATTGTCTTAAAATACTTATTTAACTTATTTAGAGTGATATTATTGTCATAGCAACAGATTTTCATGAAGTAAAATGTTATAAACTACCTGAGGTAAATGTATCATAATTTTTATATATTTACTTATAATTTAAATTACTAGTTATATATATATATATATATATATATATATATATATATATATATATATATATATATATATATATATAAGTATGTATATGTATATAAATCAATTGTTTTTTTGTTTACACACAGACATTGTAGCAGTAGGCTATTAGATAGTCTATTTAGCAACACTCGCATGTTTTACAGTTAAAAAATAAAAATAAAAACATTCAGAATGTTTTTAAAAACATTACAGTCTTTTAATTTTTGTTTTTGTGGTTTTTTAAACAACAATAAGTTTGATTTGTTTCCTCAATCAAATTAATGTTTTATTGTAATCTGTACCTAGTTTTCTATTGCTAAATGTCATATAGTAGTTAAGAATTATTTTTTTACCACAAATAATATATTTAACACTTTTACTATTGGTATATATATATATATATATATATATATATATATATATATATATATATATATATATATATATATATATATATATATATATATATATATATATATATATATATATATATATATATATATATATATATATATATATATATATATATATATATATATATATATATATATATATATATACAGCGTGGAAACTAAGGAATTGAAAGCCAGCGTTTAATTTGACCGGCCAACTTAAGGCTGTCAATTGTTTTTGTTGTACAGTCAAAATTTTTTTTCTTTTTTCTTTGTTTAATTCAAAAAAAAAAAAAATATGTCAAAGCGAATTTACTTTGTACTTTTGTAATATAATATAGCCTAGTTTTTTTTTTTTTTTAAATGTTGTTTTTTAAAATTTTTTAAAAATTTAAATTACTGAATAAATAAATATTTTATCAGCAATTTTATATTATTAATATTAATACTTTTAATTTTATTAAAATTATTCCAATAGTTAAAGTTTGCTAATAGAAACCAGTAACTTTTTTTTTTTTTTTCTCTCGCTTTAATGACCCTAAACTGTTCTTCATGACTAAACTTTATAAATCCAAAAAAAAGCTAAGGCTTGAAGGGTAAGGCTTGAAGAATAAAAAATTGTTTTAATAATAGCAATTTTAATGCTTTTTTAAAAGCGCAAACAGGCAATTTATAATTTTTAATTTATTTAAAAATAATTGATTTCATTGCAATGGCTTTGCAAATGGTGTGAAAAGTTGCACGAAAAATAATAGAAAAGGTTCAATGAAAGAAAAGTACAGTTGAGATTATGTTTTTAATTACATATAATAATTTTGTATAATAATGAAATGAATCTCTGAAGTTAAAGAAGAAATACTTTCGCACATTTTTTATCTCTTGCTCATTAAAACCTTTTCAAAAACTGCTAATGTTAATTAGTTAAGAATAATGTTACTAACTCTTGTTTGCAACTTAAAGTTTAAGTTTAAGTTAAACTGTTTAAACTCAATGTTTAATACTTTAAATATTTTTAAACATTTGTCTTCATTGTATTAAACAATTTGTTTAATAAAACAAATTTTAAGATAATAAACAATTTGTTTAATAAAACACTATAAAAATTATTAAATTTACATAAAACAAGATTTTTAATATATATATATATATATATATATATATATATATATATATATATATATATATATATATATATATATATATATATATATATATATATATATATATATATATATATATATATATATATGTATATATATATATATATATATATATATATATATATATATATATATATATATATATATATATGTATATATATATATATATATATATATATATATATATATATATATATATATATATATATATATATATAAATAAATAATCCTGTTACATAAAATAAAAAATAAAAAAAGCACAAGCGCTTAATTACTAATTTTTAATTACATATAAACCATTCATTCATTTATTTGCAATTTGCTGCAAGACTTACAAGAAAATAAATAATAAGACTTAGAGAAAAATAAAACAAATTAACTGCAGATGAAAAAAAAACTGTTCATAGTTAAAAACATAATTTATTTTATATTATAATATTATCAACAAAATAAAACATAAAGTTTTTATATTAAAATAGTAATGAAAAAAGAACTTCAATCATTTAAGAAAAAAGACTTTGACTGAAAAACAAAAAACTTATGATTATAATGATTATAGTTTACGACGTTACGTATACGTTATGTAAGTCTTGAGCAATACATTCACAAAGATACATACATGCACAAAGAGAATTAATGATTACAGGGTTGTTAAAGTAGAAAAATACTGGTTTCTATTAATATGCAATAATTATTAGATGAAAGTTTTAACAACGATAAATTTTATATATACTTGAATATATTATAAATAGCGGAATTAATAATATTAAATTATTAATAAATTATTTAAAGTTTAATTTATTAATATATATAATTAATAAATTAAACTTTTAATTATTGAATTATATTGATATAAATTAATAATAAGTTTTTAATTTTAATTTTTTGAATTATGTTTTTAAAAATAAATTTATTTGTACGTTTTGAAAACAAAGATAAAAACCAGGCAGTATTCAAAATAAAAGAGTTTAAGAAAAAATTTGCTTTAACTTCTATTCGCTTTCAAATTTTTTGCTTTAACGACCCGCTAGCAATTAAAATAGCTTTTCATAAACAAGAAAACTATTTAAAACCCTTTTTCAAAATTCAAATAGTTTATCAAAATTTTATTATATGCATTTTCCAAATAACATTGATTTTTTGTCAAACCTTGTTTTAAATCTCTAATTTTTTTTTAACTCCTTAACCATGACCGACAAGAATTCATTTTGGGAGGTCAAAATAGCATTTTTAGTCATTTCAGGCAGTTATTTTCCACCCCTAAATGACTAAAAATGCTATATATATATATATATATATATATATATATATATATATATATATATATATATATATATATATATATATATATATATATATGTATATATATATATATATATATATATATATATATATATATATATATATATATATATATATATATATATATATATATATATATATATATTATCATGTACGGTAACTCGTATATGTTTTGTCTATTATTTTCATAATAATAAAACTGACGAAACTGACAAAAGTTCCAATTTGCTCTCATTTAATTCTAACTTATATAAATATTTTGTAAACAAAAAATGTAATATATTAGTAATGTTAACAAAGAATAAATTAAGTTTGAAGCGGAATCATGAACAGAAAAACTCTAGTTTTAGTTACTAGATAAATAAACTTTAATTCCTCGGAAAATATAAGTTTCTGCATTGTTATATATACTTTTTAAATAATGTTTTAAACATTAGTAAAGTTTTCCATAAAGTTACAGGATTGCACTATGTTTCACAGAGTTACAGCAATCGTTTAAATGCAGTTCATGAATGATCATGCACAGAAGTCACGCATAGAAGTTGCAAATTTGTTAGTTTCATGTAGATATTTTTAGGAAAATAAATTGCTTATGAGTATTTTAAGTGAAATATTATACTTCTACGACTCATATTTAATATATTTTTAATGAGAAATGGCAGTCATCTGTATTTCTAGCTAAAGTATAGCGTTTTGAAAATTGTTGTTAATTTTCAAACTGTAGCAATATTATTACACAAAAAAAATAAAATGATCAAAATATATGTATTTACTTATTCAGGTAGCCTATAATATGATAAAATTAATTTTGCTATAAATGTTTTTTAAGAAAATCAAAATTGTATGCATATTGCTGTAAGTACCAGACTTCTTCATAACTCATGGAACTAAACTGGTTCTGTTTGTGTCTTATGAGGAGTTTAAGCAGAATAATCAGATTATCTTTAACTGTCTTTCCAAAAGAAATAGTCATCTTTGGAGTTCTTTTCAGACTAAATAGTCTCATGGTCATGTGCCACATTCTTTTCTGATCTGCAAATAATGCTATAATGATTAAATGTCTTAAGGTACTAAGTATGTTGCAATATGGATTTAGAAATATAGCTTGAGGCTCAGCTTTATTTCATCCTCCAAACCTTTCCATTTGTTAGTTCAGTTTCCTTTGTATCCTAATACTTGAGGTTTAAATTTAATTTAATAAAAAATATCTCAATTTCATTTATTTATTTAAATGTTACATTTGTTTTAAATTTTATCAATACTTGTATTGAAGTAGCCTAATTTAGCTTACGTTTAAGAAACTATTCAATGTAAAAAATGGAAAGAAACTTTTTTCATCAATTTTTGAGTTTTTATCCTTAAGTAGAAACTGTTTTAGATAAAATTACTATTTATCCATAAATCTGGTGGAATGAAAAGCTGCGGAATTGTGTAAATTAAATCTGTTAGTGAGCGATAATACCATTAAATTTAGTACAGCCAGTGCTATTAAAATTAATTGTCATGTTACTCATCATGCAATCAAGTCTCATCCATTTACTATGATCATTCTTATGTGCTCCATAAAATTCTTATTCATCTAGTTTTTTTCCTTATCTTACTCCATGAATTTCATTATTTCTCTTCCAGTAACTTCCAACTCTAATTGTGGTTGCTTGCAGCCTTATTGGAATGAAGATGTTGAAAAAAAAAATATGAATATATAATTTGAAAGTCAAGTTAGTTGAAAAAAAGTTTTATTTTGATACTGTACTATATTAATTTAAATGATTTTTTCTTTATCTGTAAATATATTTTTTCTAAAAGTGACAGTTTTCAGAGATGTCTATTACAGCATAACAATTATTTAATTTTTTTTTCTCTTCATGTTCTTCTAGTTTCAAGTTTAGTTATTATTATTATTGCTCTCTTTAATTTGATAAATTTTTTAAAATTAACTTTTATTAACTAATTTTCTTTTTTTTTTAGCTTGAAGTATTACATAATATTCTTTTGCGTTTTACATCGCCAATAAATTATGTGTGTATATCAAAAAATAAAGAAATTTGTGCAGCAGCCTCTAGGTAATTTTTATTGTTTTTTTATTATGTACATGAATGTTGTTGAAAATTTAAAATGTTGAAAATTTTCAGCTTTGCAACTGGTAAATTATGAAAAATAAATCACAATATTAAGAGAATGAGTTTTATTTAATAATTTTTACATTTATTTATTTTATGAATATTTGTTAACATTTTCACAAGCATGCTAGATATATTTTAGATGGAAAATTTTTCAAAATGTTACCTAAAATTTATTTTGAAAAATGTCCCTTCTGAAATATCTTGCATGCATGTGGTAACATATTTCTACTGAGTAGTAGTTTCTACATTTTGTGACAAATTTAAATATTAATATGGAATAATAATGAAAATAGTTAGGTGGATTCTGCTGGTCAAAATGTTACATGGTAATATAATCATGAAGAAAAATGAATGGTTGTTTTTTAATGAGTGGATGTTTTTTAATGAGTGGATATTTTTTAATGAGTGGATGTTTTTTAATGAGTGGATGTTTTTTAATGAAAGGATGTTTTTTTTAATAAAAAAATACTTTTAATAAAAAAGTTCTTTTATATGCCTAGATCAAGCTTACAGATTTCTTTTAAAATCACATTTTTTGAATTGCTTTAAGTAAGACATTTCTTTTTTAAAAATATTTTAATCCCATGATGCATTATTTAAGATCTGTGTGAGTATGTGTTTGTGTGTGTATGTTTTTACACGCACACACACATATACATTGTTCGTGGAGAGAATGTATATTGTTAAGATATATTGTTTGCATATCTTTTATCTTACAACCTTATATCTAAAGTAGCCCTTTTTGCTTTATACTCCTGTCATGACAAAAGTTTTCTCTTTTTGATTGCTTAGAACAGGCAGCGGATCTTGAATCTGATATTATTTTTGTAACAGATTGGGTTTCACAGTGGCTTGTAAATTTTAACTTCAACTAAACTCAGTTATTTACTGCAAAAAGCTATTGTAATACTGTTAAAAAGTCTCATTCTTTTACTGTATCTGTCCTTGCATGCTCTAAAAATTTCTATTTGTCTAATTTTTTTCTCAGCACTTCAACCATTTGGAACTTTCTCCCATCTTCGTGTTTTCCTGGTTCATACAAACTACAACTAGTCAACAGTTTCCTTGCTCTATAACTCTATTCTTTTTTTTTCCTTGTAACTCTCAACTTAATAGTGGTTGCTTTTAAGCTTGTTGGGAGTATATTACTATTAAAAAAAATACATGCTATAAATCTACCCTAATGCTACAAATCTAGCTCCAGGTTTCCTGAATTAAATTCCTTGAGGACTTATATCACCTAGAAATTCTTGTGAAAGTTCCAGAAAATCAAGGTAATCATCATAGTAGTGAAATACTAAAGTTGTTTCAGAGAATTATTGCTGGAACATCTTTAATATCATGACTGTATGCTTTAATATCATTGACTGTATGCAAGGCACCTTCATCTTAATTCTTGACTTGATATTGGCCTTAACAAAATATGCCCAATTCATCTTAAAACCTTTTCTAAAAGGCTCAATTCATGCCCAATTCATCTTAAAACCTTTTCTAAAACCTTTTCTAAAATTCATCTAAAAACAAAAGGATTACCGTTTGGCTGAAAGAATTGTTTTAAGAAAAAGCGATTTGAGAATTATAACATAAATATGGCGTTTGTAAACCAGATATATTATATTCTACCCTACCTTTTTTTATTCAAAAATTATCTTTATCAAACAGATGGAACTTAGGTATGGACAGTTAAATTAATCTAATTATGCTTGCATGAAGTTTTAAAAACCCACAGTGGTCCCACTTAGCCCAAGGGAGTTTAACTTTTTAATATAGAATTTAAAAGAAATAAGTTTTCTATAAATTATAACAATTAAATTTATTAAATGCAAATTTTTTTGTTTTCTTTTTATTTATTAAATTTTTTCAGATTAATTTTTATTAGGAGTATTCTATTATTTTATTTCAGATTAATTTTTATTAGGAGTATTTTATTATTTTATTTTCTATGAAAAGCTCAGGAAATTTACCATAAATTTTAATATCATTGAACTGTATGAATCTTGTAATATATAATAGCAAAATATTTCAAATGTGATTTAAAAAATTAAGTATTATGTTATTTTAGTTATTAAATTAAAATTAAAATCTTTTAATTTTTTATTTTTTTCAAGTGACTTTACAATCAAAGCAGCTAATACAGATGGTACTTCTCAAAAAACATTTTCTGGCCATTCAGCTCCAGTTTTAAGCCTATGTTTTACTAATAATTTTGAAAGTTTAGTAAGTTGAGTTTTAAATTTTTATTTGACATGCATTTTATATTAGTTTAGAGTTTGTGTGTGTGTATATATATATATATATATATATATATATATATATATATATATATATATATATATATATATATATATATATATATATATATATATATATATATATATAATATATATATATATATACATATATATATATATATATATATATATATATATATATATATATATATATATATATATATATATATATATATAAAATTTATGCACCATTAAAAAACAAATCATAATTTATTTTTATTTTTAAATTTTTATTTAGTCAGATTTATTTTTCTGGTAAAAAAAAATAATAACAAATTTTAGAAAACAGGCATACAAAACAAAAAATAATAATAATGCCATAGACTTTTAAACAAATAAAAAAAATGTATTTAAAGTTTTGTAGGTAATTTTTATTTTTAAAAAATTGTGAAAAAGTTAAGAACCACAGAGCAAAAAATTGTAATTTTTACCTAATACCCCGTAATTCTACCATGAATTTTTAAGCACTCATTTATACAATTTAGTATTGAGTCTATTAAATTCTCTAAAATATGATTGGGAATATTTCTAAGTATTGTCGTTAAAATATTTCGGAACTCCTCAAGGCTCCTTGGTGCTTTCTTGGCAATCTCTTTATCAAGCCAACTCCAAAGATTTTTAATGCAATTTAGATCTGGACTAATTAGTGGCCAAGTTAGACACTCAAAATTTTTGCTTTCAAACCATTCAGAGACGTTTTTAGCCCTGTGACATGGTGCATTGTCTTACTCAAAAATGAACGTTTCGCTTTGCTCAAGTGCATCAATTGATGGTAACAAGTTGTTATTTAAAATATCGATGTAATAAATAGAATTAAATCGACCATCAAATAATTTAAACATACCAAGACCATAGTATGTCATGCAGCCCCATATTCCAACCAACCCGCTACCTTGTTTTGTTCTTTGAACAATACAATCAAGATTATATTTTTCTGAAGGTTGCCTGCGAATCATAATTCAGTTTTTCGGTTATCAACCTCGATATTCATCTCATCACTGAACATTACTGTCCTCGATATTCATCTCATCACTGAACATAATGTCCTCCATGTTGTTTGGTAAGTCACGGTTTTAGAACAGCTTTTTTCCATAGAATATTGTTAGCTATTAGTTTCCTACACACAAGTGATGCTGATGCTTGACGTCTATTTGAAAGCTTCCATTCCCATCTAAATTCATGCGACGGCATGGTTCAATTTTTCTTTGCCAACCTGATTAAAAAGCAATCATCATTAGGTGTTGTCAAACATGGTCTTTCAGAATGATGGCAATCAACGTAAGATATTGTCTCTCTGAATCTTTTGATGGTTGTTAATACCGAACTATGTGATTGTTTTATTATTTTTCCAATTTCATGAGCGGTTTTACATTCCTGGTGAAAATGTACTACTTTTACACAATCTTCATAGGTAATGAAGATTGTGTAAAAGTATTTCTGCTCATTTATTCAAAAGAAAATAATTTTTTTTGTTTGAAATTAAATACTTTTTTTTTTAATACTTATGGTTTTTTGGTAATGACTTAAGTCTTTATTACAATATTAAAATAAAAAGGTAAAAATCAATTTAAAAAAGTTGTTTTCACTGCATTTAGTACAAAAAATTCTTTGTGATTCTTTTTCACAAAAAAAAAAAAAAAATTATACAGTTGTACAGTTGAAATTAAAAAGTTATACAGTTGTACAGTTGACTCACAATATCGCTAACTCTCAGGTGAGCGGGGATAAAGTTTAAGATGTTGAGTAGTTGAGATATTGAGACTCAACTGTGTATGTATATATTAATATATGTATATATATATAAAAAATATATATATTTATATATATCTACTATAGCTGGTTTGGATAAGAATTTGCTCACTTTTTTTTTTCTTATCTTTATAGCATATCGCGTGTTTAGAAAAAGAAGAAAAATTAAAAGCATAATAAAAAAAAGATTGCTGCCCCATTCCAAAACCTAAGTTGAGGTTGCAACAATCTGCTGCGAGTCAGGCTAATTGTCAGTCAATGTATGTACTGAAGCCTTAGGCAGCAGGCTGTTTCAGTGTGATGTCAGTATGTTTATCTAAACTAGCAGTTTAAGTTATATACATATATACAGGGGCTATTCTAGACTGTTTTTGACAGTGCCTGGCGTATTTGGGCGCCATCCAAATTCAGAAGTTGAGGACTTTTATATTGTTTTATTCACAAAAAATTGCCTACATACAGCATGTTTCCACCAAATTTCCTTGAGTTAGTTAGGGACATATTATATCCAAAATTATTTTTCTAAAATAGCCCCAAATAATATATATATATATATATATATATATATATATATATATATATATATATATATATATATATATATATATATATATATATATATATATATATACACACACATTGTTAATAGTTTTTATTTTTTTATTTTTAAACCACTAAAAAAACTGTAAAATAGTATGAAATTGTAAATACATGTTGAAGAGGCAAATTAAGTAATTGGGAATGGCAGTGAGCCAAAGTCATTTAGTGATCTTGAAATTATATTATTTGAATTGTGATCACTAATTTTATATTTTTGGGCAAATATTTTGATAAACAAAAGTTTAATCATGTTTTAAAATGATGTTGGTACAAATTAACCTAGTCAGATGAATGTCTTATTAATAACTGATAAACTCAATTGATAGTTTGTTTAAATTTGTTATAAGAAGTAGTTTATTTTATAGTTGATAAAAGATTAAGTAATTGACCATTAAGAACTTCACCCATAAATGAAATTAAAAACAAAACAAAAAAAAACTTAATTGCAAATTATAAGCCAAATGTAAGATTGTAATAATGTAATGTATAATATTGTGACGATAATATTTTGTTATGAATGTAATGTATAATATTGTGGCAATTATATTGTGTTATGAATTTAATGTATAATATTGTGACGTTTATATTTTTTATGAATTTTATGTATAATATTGTGGCGATAATATTGTGTTATGAATGTAATGTATAATATTGTGACGATAATATTGTGTTATGAATTTTTTAAGAAATAAATAGTATAAATTTTTTTAAATAAGGAAATTTTTTTTTATTTAAATTTTATTAAAATTTTTTTTAATAAAGTCCTTATGTAGAGACTTTAACCGTAAAAAATGGTCTCTTTCAACCCTTTTTTAACATTTAAGTGCCATTAACAATAAGTTGAATTTAAATGTTGTTCAAATGTTACAACAATTTAAAAAATGCTATAGTACATTTAGTTTTATTGTCTTTTAAAAAACCGCAATAATATTATGACTCGAAAGTTTTTTCAATGGTGTTTTTTTTTTGTCTTGATTGAAAAACAAGGCAGCTAGATAGAGAATTAAGTTAAGCATGGTACTATCACGGATATGGTGAAGGTTTACTTGCTTATGAAGCAAAATCTTAACACCTACACTACTACCAAATTTATTTAATTTTTGAATTAAACCTTTTTTTAACTTTGTTAAAATTGAGTCAATCTCCTCAATTTTTTTACTTTCTTTACAATACAATAAGTAATATAACAATTTTTTTAAAACGTTATTAATATTTTGAAAATTTATAACATTTAATATGCTGAAATATATTACTCAATTTGAAAAAAAAAAAATTTTAATATACCACAAAACCATAAAAAAGCACCTGGGAACTTAAGCTAGCAGGATGCAGCAGGGTACTTATTTTGTTTTAGTTAAAAAATTTTATTTTACAGTTACTTTTCTGGAGGCATTGATGATAAAATGGTACAATTTCTTTAAAATACAAAATGCTTTACAAGGTTGAATTACCAGAAGCTGTTAATACCATATTTATAAAAAAATTTTAAGTTTTAATCATTGGCAGGGCTCGACATGATGAACATTTTTTTTGCATTTTTTTAACATTACTTTACTATGTGAAATGCTTTGTAAATATTATAATTGATAACCACATTAAATACATAAATTATTATGTTTACTTTTTACTTTAAATAAAGTAACAAATTAATTCTAAGGATTGTTTACAATAATAAGAAATAATTTGTATAATATTCTTTGATAATTTAAATAAGATTTAATTAGAATTAATTATATTTTATTTACACTAGCAAAAAGTATTTCACGTAATATATTATTCAGAATTACATTTATATAAATATATTTTTTTTTATAAATCTTTTCAAACTTTTTCTATGATTGGTTTTATTATCACTTTTAACAGCAAGCACAAAAACAAATGTTACGTAAAAACTCAAATTTAATAGTGTATTAAAAACACTGGTTTCTATAAGCATTAAAATAACTATTACTTTAAAATTTTTATAAATAAATTTAAAAGTGGTTTTAAAAGCTAAAATATTTGTTTGAAACTTATAAAAACTATCGGAAAAAAAGTAAAATAAATATAAATCTAAATTAATAATTAGTTGCAACATTTTTAATATAAATGATAAAAACCAGGCTGCTTAATTCAAAAAAAATGTAATGCTTATGGATTGTGCATATTTTACATAAAACTAAATTTCACTAATAAACAAAACAAAAAAGATCAACAGTTTTCCCTTGCAGAGTCTAAAGTTGAATAAAAAATCAAAATAGCTAATTAAGCTCAATAAAAATCACCATGTAAAAGTGCTTGAGATCTCCTACATCTGTTTTTTAAAATAAATTTAGCGTTGCGTAATTTACTGACAATCCCAAGCATCTTTTAAAAATGAATTAGCTCAAAAAAATTATCTTACTTCAACTTCATTTTCTGTTTTGTATAAAAAATAAAAAGATCAAAATATTATGTTTATATACAATACTGAATTTATTATTAATTTTGGAATGATTAAAATTATTGTAAAGTAAATGTTCACAAAATATGGGTCAAACAAAATGACTGAAAGATGTCCTTTTTTACTGGACAAGTGCCTGACAATGTCTGATGTCCGGCAGCTATTTCAAGCTCTGATCATAGGTAAAAACTTTGTTGCAAACTTGAAAACTGAAGCAGTATGAAAATATGAAGCAATATGAATGTATAAAGCAATATGAAGATATGAAATGCATATTTATAACAAAAATGCGTATATATACTTATCAATGTTTCAGATATTTTTAAATATTTATAATACAAAAGATATTAAATGTGTGATATTGACTACTTGGTGATGAATATTTAGCATGGCTCAACTAATCACTTTAACTGTTTATGCTTGAATCTGTGTTTATGCTTGCATATGTATTTATTACAGTTATCAATATGTTGCAGGATTTGAAAACTTTGTCTATTACGCTGAGAAACAGATTCATTTAAACTTTCAAAAATTAAAAAATTTTTATTTAATACTCAAGTTTTAAATCGAGTTAAGTCAAATAAAAATTTAAAGTTTTTAACAAAAAATAAATATCTAATTCAATGTTTAATCTTCAAAGAATATTTAATTACTAAAGTGCATTTTCACAATCACTTTTTTTATTTCTATTTTTTCAAGCATCAATTATTTTATTAGATTTCAAATAGCTGTGATGGCACAATTCGTTTATGGAATGTTCTTGATCAGGTATTTTAAAAAGAATTAAGAATTTAGTACTTTTTAATTTAATATTCTCTAAACAAAAATGTAAAAAAAAAATTTGTAAAAATGTTTTATATTTTTTTTACGCTTGTGTGGTTCAGAATTTCAGTTTTGTAATATTGACTAATATTTATTATTTATTAGATGTGTACAAAAGTGATTGACATTCTCCCTAAATCAAACAGGTATTTAGATTTATGCATTGGTTATTATTAGTTATTTGTTATTTTTTAGTTATTGCTGTTTTATATATTTTTAGTGCTTCTCAATATCTTGGAGTTATGGCAATTTATGACAAGGTAGTATAATAAACAAGCTATATGTGTATATATATATATATATATATATATATGTGTGTGTGTGTGTATATGTGTGTGTGTGTTTGTGTGTGTGTGTGTGTGTGTATATATATATATATATATATATATATATATATATATATATATATATATATATATATATATATATATATATATATATATATATATATATATATATATATATTAGGGTGTCCCTTAAAACAACATTTTTGAAAATAAAATGTTGTTTTAAGGGACACCCTTGACATATTGGGTGACCCTTAATGACATATTAGGTTGACATATTTAAAAAATTTTTTTTAAAATATTATCGACTTATTAAATATTTGAGGGTCTTGGGGGACCCTTTAAAATATTTTTTTTGAATAAAAAATATTTTAAAGGGTCCCCCAAGACCCTCAAATATTTAATAAGTCGATAATATTTTAAAAAAAAAATTTTTTAAATATGTCAACCTGGTACTCAAATGAAGCGAAATTATATAAAAATTGTTATTTGGTTTTATTACATAAAAAATTGCGTTGTTTAACAAAAAATGAAAAAAATTCATTTTTTATGTTTTTTTATGATAATTTTGATGTTAAAATTTTTTTCGAAATGAATCTTATTTTTGAAATTTTTATATAATTTTGCTTTATTTTATTTATTTTTTTTCCAATTAAGGTTTACAATAAATTGTATAGGCATAATTTGCCTGTCAACCTGGTCTCATATAATAATTGAAAACTATAGAAATTTTATAACTAAAATAAAATAAATGTAGATTAGTCATAGAGAAGCCATTCATTTTTTGAAAAACTTTTTTTTTTTAATATTAGGGACTCATTAAATATTCAAGGGTCTTGGGGGACCCCTTAAAATACTTTTAGCATAAAAAAATGTAAACCTAGTTTTTTGTATTAGATAAAACACATTTAGGGGGTAAGAGCAGATTATTTTCAAAAATGTTGTTTTAAGGGACACCCTAAAATATATATATGTGTATATATATATATATATATATATATATATATATATATATATATATATATATATATATATATATATATATATATATATATATATATATATATATATATATATATATATATGTATATGTATATGTATATATATATATATATATATATATATATATATATATATATATGTATATATATATGTATATATATATATATATATATATATATATATATATATATATATATATATATATATATATATATATATATATATATATATATATATATATATATATATATATATGTTAATTTATCTCTCCAAGGATACTTAATTGTGGTTATAACCCTCTCTCAACTCTATAACTGCAAAAATTATTTTTCTTCTTGAACATCAGTTTTTTGGAATTTGCATTCTTCGTCTTGTTTTCCTGATTCATAAAAATTAACAATCTTTTTAGTCATCTGTTAATCATTATCTTATTCTATAAACTTCATTTTTTTTTTCTAGTTACTTTCAAATTAATAGTGGTTGCTTTCAGTCTTGTTGGAAGTAAAGATGTTTAATACAAAGAAAAAAAAATCTTTTGCTCCTTTTAAAGGGTTTTTTTTAGAGGTATAGAACTTTAAATTGCAATAAAACAATGATGGATTATTCGATTGACAAGAATTTTTTTTTATTAGAAAGATAATCTTGTGGCATTACATTTTAAATATAATTTCTGGCATATGACCGCCACGGCTGGCTCGAATGTAGTGCAATCTGGACGTCCAATTTTCAATTACTTTTTCCAACATTTGTGGCCGTATATCGGCAATAACACGGCGAATGTTGTCTTCCAGATGGTCAAGCGTTTGTGGCTTATCCGCATAGACCAATGACTTTACATAGCCCCACAGAAAATAGTCTAGCGATGTTAAATCACAAGATCTTGGAGGCCAATTCACAGGTCCAAAACATGAAATTAGGCGGTCACCAAACCTGTCTTTCAATAAATCGATTGTGGCACGAGCTGTGTGACATGTTGCGCCGTCTTGTTGAAACCACAGCTCCTGGACATCATGGTTGTTCAATTCAGGAATGAAAAAGTTTGTAATTATGGCTCTATACCTATTACCATTGACTGTAACGTTCTGGCCATCATCTTTTTTAAAAAAGTACGGACCAATGATTCCACCAGCCCATAAAGCGCACTAAACAGTCAGTTTTTCTGGATGTAATGGTGTTTTGACATACACTTGAGGATTATCTTCACTCCAAATGCGGCAGTTTTGTTTGTTGACGTAACCATTCAACCAGAAGTGCGCTTCATCGCTAAAGAAAATTCGCTTATGAAAATCGGGAACAACGGCAATCTCGTTTTGGGCCCATTCGATGAATCTACGCCTTGCTTGATGATTGTTTGGCTTCAATTCTTGCACGAGTTGGATTTTGTAAGCACGCATACCAAGATCCTTCCGCAAAATCTTCCATACAGTGGATGGACACAGATCCTATTCCTGTGCTCGATGGGAGATCTACAGTAGCAATAGCTTCTTCTGTACGCACTGTACGGCGTCTCTGGGGATGCGAGTTATCAATAAGAGTAAACGTGGTGCGAAAACGTTCCATGGTTAATCGAATTAACTGCTTTGATGGACGATTTTGTCGAGGATAAAATGGACGTAGTGCGCGATACGTATTCCGCACAGAACCATTATTTTCGAAATAAAATTGAACTATTTGCAAGCGTTGTTCAAGTGTGAGTCTATTCATGATGAATTGCCAAACCAAACTAAGAATAAATCACTTGTCACCTGTTAAATTGGTCGCCATCTTGAACAGTAATGCCAACTTAAAGTTCTATACCTCTAAAAAAAACACCCTTTATTTCTACAACTCAGTTTCCTCTGCAGTTGTATGTTAAGGACACAACTTTATTAACTCGGACTTAAAAATTTAAGTATGTGTCTTTTTTTTCTCCAAATTTGATGAAATAGTATTTTTGATACGCATTTACTTTTCCATTTCACATGTTTTCTTTGTAATTAGCATGCTGCCTATTGAACATGCTTGTGGAGTTATAAAGTTGAAGGTTCAGTTTTACTTTTTTTTTTCTTTTCATACAATTTTATGCATAATTTTTTTGCCATGATTGCGCGATGGAATATATTAATCAAAATTATTAGATCCCTCGCTTATCTGATTTCCATATAGAATACAAATTACTGTCATTTAGAGGATACACTTTTTTAAAAGCTTTTCCAAATTATTTGTCTTTTTACAATGTTTACAGTGATGATATTTATTATATTTGATTCCTTAAAATACCTCTTGTAGGTTTTGTAATGGTATCTATTAATATTTGGTTATCTGGTATTATTATTTGGAATATTTTGACACTATTTTATAAAGAATGCTTTTGAATTGTTTACTTCAGCTTATTTTAGATATATGTTTAAAAAACATATATCTAAAATAAGTTTCTTTTTTATTATCTTCACTTATTTTAATCTTGTTTTCATGCATGCTATTAGAAATCAATTTTGATTTTTGCTTATGATCCCTTATGATTAGCAAAGCATTTTTTTCATTTACCCACTGTTAAGCCAGAAACATTCTTAAGTACATTATCAGGTACATTCTTATAAGAAATGATTCATTTATACCACAGTTTTTGTGTCATTTATACCACAATTTTTTATAAACATTTTCCTGTCAATAGGCAGTTGTTGTTTTTTTTGATATTTTTTTTATTTTTCAACATCTTCACTTCCAAACAAGGCTGCAAGTAACCACTGTTAAAGTTGGAAGTTACTAGAAGAGAAAGATGAAGTTTATAAAGCAAGATAAAGGTTACCAGACAACTTAAATGATTTCAATTTTTATGAATCAGGAAAAAAAGACGAAGAAGGCCAGTTTTAAAGAACTTGTTTTAAGAAAAAGACTAAAAAAGCTTAACAAAATTTTTTTTTTATTTTTTTTATTTTTTTTTTTTAAACATTCTTCACTTCCAACAAGGCTGCAAGCATCCACTTTTAGAGTTAGAAGTTTAGAGTTAGAAGTTACTGGAAGCGGAAAGATGAAGTTTTTAAAGCAAGATAATGATTTACTGGCAACTTAAAAGAAAAGTGGAGCACTTAGGAGCAGTCACAGTAAAAAGATTAGTTAAATGACAAATATCACAACAACAAATTATAGTAGGCACATTAGATGCTAGCTCTTTAGAGCAGCATTAATTGTAGTATTTTTAAAAAAGAGTATAAGAAGCAACATTACGTTGATGTGACAATGGTTGAAGGTTTGCTGCAAGAACAGCCCTAACTATTACAGGATATTTTATAAATTTTTTCATCTTGTCTAGTAAAAAAAGAGCAATATTTGAAGATCCGCTCCAGATGATGAAACAGTATTCCACACAAGGACAGATTTGAGGTTGATAAATATAAAGAATAGAATTCTGAGTGAGAAAATGGATTTGAGGATCTCACTTCTGCTATAGCATATGAACAATGCCACCTTAGATGTGAGAGTTTCAGGGAGATCTTTAGGTTAGGTAACAAAGTCTGAACTATACAAGAGAAGAAGGAATGTCAGTTTTGTCCTTGTTATAGACACTGTTAAAGATTCTCTAGGAGTCTCTGGAGCCTAATTTTTGAGATGAGATACAAGATTTTGTGACCTGAGAAAAAGGCCTTTTGCCTTGAACTTTTTACAATGCTTTTTACAATGGTCTCTAGCATAGTAAATAAACCTTTATTTTCTAGAGAATTGTTTTTGGAATTGATATGGAAGTAATGGTTATGACTAGAAATTGCAGCAGCAAAATGAGTAGAAAACCATGAAGAAGAGTGAGGCTTGACTTATTATTGTCTAGAGGGAATAAAATATTCCATGCCAGCTTGAATCTATAAAGTCATATAATAAGCACATTTGTCAGCAGGAAAACAAAAGATTTCAACCTAAGGGTCATCATGAAGAAAATTGTGGGAAAAGTCCTACTCAGCTTCAAATTAGTTGTACGAGGTAGGGATCATAGGGGGATTCTGATGATGAATATGAATGAAGTAATAATTTTAGACAAATCAAACTGACTAGGATCAGAAACAAGACATAAGTTGATTAGAGAAGATAAATGGTTCAGATTATTTGGAAAACGATTTAGAATGTTAACTATTTGTGTTAAAGATTGAGATTGAGAAAAGTCGCGGAACTGCATAGTCATTGATACTAGAACCAAGCCTTTTAGTGTGATGAACACTTAAGTCATCAATAACAATAATATTGGTTAAAGAAAAAGAACTTTGTCAAATTGATCAGAAATAACATTGAAATGAGTGCTGTCTTAAGATGAAGGAGAGCAATTTGGAACAAAGAGAAAGGCAATAGAATGATGTGGTGCTAAACAAAAGCACATAAAAGAATAGTCTGTGGATTTAAACCTAGTTTGAATGGTGAATTCTGATGTGACAGCTGAACTTAAATTAGTCTCACAAAGAGCAAGTAGGTCTTGGCATATGCTTTCTGTTTGTTATAAGTATACTTTAACCATAAATTACTGTTTATAAAAAATTGACTGTGATTTGTGTTTAAGCTCTTTATCTTTAATATAATTCAGTGTTTTTTCTGCACATATGTTCATTTTTTTTTTTTTTTTTAATTACCTAATATAATTTGGTGTTTTCTTCTGCACATCTGTTCTTTTTTTTTTTTTTTTTATTACTTATCCTCCTTGATATAAAAACTTTTTTTCATAGAAATATTTCATATTTATCTATGGGTTTTCATTGCTTAGTCTAGTTCAAGTACTCTAGATAACCTACATCAAACATATATGCCAATATACTATGCATTACATCAAAACACCCTTATGCATGTTTTGATCATCTTTTAGCAAACTTTTTCGAACTGTTTTAGTTCAATGAAATTATATTCCAAAAATAAACATCTTTTTCTGAGGTATCAGTAAAAAACAGACCAGCTTAACCAACTTGCTTGTAAAAACAAATTGAAAGTTTTTTTTTTGTTTGTTTTTTCTGTAAAGTAATATGATAAATTTCCTGTGAAATTGTTTCAGGGTTAGTAGTAAAATAAATTTTAGCATGAAAAAACCACATAGGAAGACTGTTTTCTTTTTGTGTCTTCACAAGAGAAAACATTTGTTAACTAGCTCCATGATTGAAAATGTTGAACAAATTTTTAAGCAACTAATTGACTTTGATAATCTAAGAGTCTTATTTAGTCTTACCTCATTTGTGATTGTTGTTGTTCCTTAGGAGGTATATAAAAAAAGTCTTACTGTCATTTGTGATTGTTGCTTCTTCTAAGAGTCTTATCTATTTATCTATTAAGAGTCTTATCTGGCATTTGAAATTGTTGCTTTTCCTCAAGAGGCACAAAAAAAAAGCTTCAAGTTTAACCAAAACTTTTAACTTCTCAATAAAGTTCATCCTTTTACAGAAGACTCTGTTTATAAATGTTTAATATTCTCAGTTGGCAAAGTAAACCACAATCATCCAATTGTTTAGTCATCAGCTTAAAAACTTGAGGCAACCAAAACATTGTTGAATCAAGATGTTTTACAACAGATGTTTTTTCTAAAGTTAATATTTTTCATAAAAAAACATGAATACGCTGAACTATTTTAAAGATTCATAAACAATAACTTGAAGTTTTTTCAATGACGAACCATAAATGGCAACTAAAGATCTTGTTCATGTGCAGTACAATACTTAACTGTCCGATTCTGGTGTGAAAAAGATTGCATCAACTCTTAATCAAGGTGTAAATAGTCAGATTGTTGAGCTAAACTTTTACTCCAAGTTTGATCAATTGAGTGAAAAAATAGGTAGCAAACAAAAGCATTTATTCAAATTGTAAACAAGGGGACAAATTCTATAGGTAAACGTATTGTCAGAGTATAAAGACAGGCTGTAAAGGTGCATTCAAGAATTCAACAGCAAAAGTTTAAATTAAGAAAGTTTTTCTTTTTAGTTAGTAACATACTCCAGGTAGACCTCATAGTCTTTTCACAAAGTGCCAGAGGAGCCAGGAAGTTTATGCCTCCTTCCTTACCAATGTTGCTTATTTATGAGGTCATAATATCATGTGCTTTTTATTTATTTTTTCAGCTATGTTTAGTAAGTTAGCCTTACATTGTTTTCATGTTATATTTGTCAAAGAAAAATGTGAAAAAAAACTTATGCTGCACTTAGTTTTGAATTATCGGTATATTTTTATCAATTTCTTCTAGAACTTTATTTATTTCATCTACCATATATTTATCAGAATAGCTTGATGTTCTGCAAAATATTTACAGTATAGTCTATATTTTACATATGCAATGTACTATATAGATAAATATAACGCACCCTAACTAATTACTGGTATATTAAATTTCTGATTATTAATAGTTTTTTCTGGGTTTTATGTTATCCATTTAATAACAAAGTTAATTATTAAAAAATATTTTAAATGTATGCTAATTGCTGTAAATACATATGCTGTATATTAAGTTTTATAAAGTTAAATAAAAGGTAACTAAGGGTAACTAAGCCCCCTGTATAATCTGCTTTACTTATTTTTTAGTTAAAATTTGTATAGTCAAGCAAAGTGTTAAAAATTTGAATAAAATTAAATAAGTAAAAGATTTATTTATACATTTTACCAAGTCCTCTGTTATTAATAATTGTTATTAATAATTAATAATCAATAATTGTTATTATTAATTTATTAATAATAACAATTATTGTTATTGATGATTTTTTTTATTATTAGAAATAAAAGCATTAGTATTGTTAGATTAGTAAATTTTCTTATGAAATTTGTGTGAAATGTGGGTTTTTCTGAAAAACAAAAACAAAAATCCAAAAGTTTAATTTCCACTCAAAGTAAATTAATTTGCACTGTTCTAAGCTTAATGTCCATTGTTCCTCATTATATACGGTTTCAATAGGTTTTCATATTGCCTTTATCTTATTCAAATATTCAAAAATGAGTATGGAAGATTTAAAGCAATTTTACTATTAGAAGCCTTTCCTTTTGTTAACCTGTTTTGCTGATCAAGAAAAGTAATTTTATAGTGATACTACTATTTGGAAGATTATTATCCATAGTTTATGAGCTCTTTTTACCTTTCCATAGTTTATGAGCTCTTTTTACCTTTCCATAGTTTATGAGCTCTTTTTACCTTTCCATAGTTTATGAGCTCTTTTTACCTTTCCATAGTTTATGAGCTCTTTTTACCTTTCCATAGTTTATGAGCTCTTTTTACCTTTAATCGCAATTAAATTGGGGGTTTTATGTTAGAGTTTTACTTCTCCTAGATAATTTGTCTTCATCATGGCTAAAAATCATTTTTTGATTAATCATTAATTTAAAATCACAATTAGAACATGTACAGAATGCTTATAAAATTTATTAGACAGTTTTTTTTTTAATGTATAACTTATGTTCATTATTATGCTTTTAGACTCTTGCTGTTCCTATTGGAAACAATATAAAGGTAAAAGTACTATTTTCTTCTCGTCTTCCATTTTTTCCTATTTATTAATAAACTTCATTTATTTAATTTTATTCATATTTATTTATTGCAGAAATTTTTTGGATAATCGTTGTTACATTTTAAGATATAAAAATGATATGAATTGATATTTTTATAATAATACTCTAAATAAAGTTTTATTGTTATTTTAATAGCTTATTTCTACTCAAACATGGAAGGATGACAATTTAATATTAAAGCAACATTCAGAGGTATATAATTTAGTTAAGATAGTGTATGTTAATTTTTTATCGTAATTTAAGTTTTTATGATGTTTTCATACAACTCTAATGTTGAGCGGTCTGAGTGAAACTATTTAATATTTTAATGAGTTTATCATTTTAAAAAACGTTTCTGTTCTTATGCACCTTTTTTATTTCGGATTTCTAATACTTAAGTTAAACTAGTACAGTTTAAATTCTATAGTTATTGTTAAAGTTTAGGCCATGGAAGCTGTTTTATGTAGATGACTTATGGTAAATGAGACAGAAGAAGAATTAGTTCGAAGAGTTTGGTGTTGGAAGGGTTGAATAGAAGAAAAAAGACTTAGGATAAACATGAATAAGACAAAAGTAATACATTGTAAATTCAAGATTGAGCAATCAAAAAATAATGGAGATAAGCGATGCTAAGTCTTGAAGAAGTTAAAGAAAACTTTGTTTGTATTGTAGGTGTTGTGGAAGGTTTCTCTTATTGAAGAATTGGCAATTTTTGTTGAAAAAATGAAAAGATAAGTAAAAAAACAGTAGAAATAGTGAATTGATAAAATTAAAAAATAACAGAGTTGCTTAAATGGAAACAATAGTTTGATAATTTAACTCATTTTAATGCCTTCTTTCTGTTTTGCTTATTTTTTCAGAAGTAAATATAATGACCACATAAAGCATGCTCAATAAGCATGCTTTATATGGTCATCTGGGAAAAGTTTAAAGATTGTTAAATTATTTTTCTCGAATAGCAGTATTAAAATCATCCTTGCCAACATTCTTTATTTCCAGTAATTTTTTGGTTCTTTTTTTGGTTTTGTATTGTTTCTTACCTACTTTAGTAGTCTTGCTGAAAATCTTACATCTAAAGTAGCTGCTCTATCTGCTAAGCTTAAGCCACTCTCTGATTGTTATAAGGTTTCACTTCTCTGATTGTTATAAGGTTGCATTTCTCTGATCGTTATAAGGTTGCATTTCTCTGATTGTTATAAGGTTGCATTTCTCTGATTGTTATAAGGTTGCATTTCTTTTTTTATACTATCACTGCTCAAAAGATCTCTAGTTCCATTTATCAAAATGCATTCTTGACTTATCATTCAGCAAAGTTGCATCTTTTTATTGTATATGTCCCTTAACTCCCTAAAAACTTTTATTCGTTGAATTTTTTCCTTACACATCACTGCTTTAAAAATCTTCTCTCATACTTATAAACTTTTATAAATCTTCTCTCAAACTTATACAAGTTTTTTTTTTTAATATCTTCACTTTCCACAAGACTGCAAGCAAACACTATTAGAGTTTGAAGTTACTGGAAGAGTAAAGATAAAGTTTATAAGGCAAGATAACGATTAACAGTCGACTTAAAAGATGGCAAATTGCATGAATCAGGAAAACAAGATAAAGGAAGCTAATTCCAAAGAACTAATGTCCAATGAAAAAAAACTAGGTGAATAAGAATTTTTGGAACACTTAGGAACAGTCACAGGAAAATGATGAGACTTATTTGCATAGTGAGTAACACAAGAATGACTTTTGGTAGATGGCACAAGAGATGCTAGCTCTCTAGAGCAGTGACTTTATAGTATTTATAGTAATCAGAAATGGAGGCAATATGACAACAGTGTGACAATGGTTGGAGGTTGGCTGAATGAGCAGGTCCATTTATGTTTACAATGCATTTTTGTACCTTGTCTAGAAGACAAAGGGCATCATTTAAAGATTTGCTCCAGATATGGGAACAGTATTTCATACAAGGTTGGATCTGAGATTTTTAGAGATAAAGAATATAATCCAGAGTATGAAAATGGCAAGCGCTATATAGACATGCGACCTTAGCAGATGCTAATGTTGCAATGGTTTTAATATATGGTTTCCTAGAAAAAAGGGTAATGACTTATCGAGTACATTACCATTCATAATTGTAGGAAGATCTATATTGTTGCGATAATTATTAGATAAAAAAAATTGAGTTTTTCCTGAGTTAACGTTTACAAGCCACTGAGAGCCCCATGTTATAGCAGAAGTGAGATCCTTTTCATGCTCAAATGCCTCCTCTATATAATCAATGTAGTTAGACAAGTTAGATTGAATATTTGAATATAAGGATAACAAATACCACTTTCCAGCAGACTGGAGAATAAAACTCTAATATGTACTTGTTAAATTGTTTTTAAAGTATAGCTCCGAAAAACACTTCCGCAAGAATATAACAGGTATGTTATCCGAACCACAAGCTGAAGAAGAGTCTCAGCAAGAAATCACTTTAGATAAAGAAGCTGGAGTGATATGAAAGTCAAGCAATAGATCAATCTGTTTGACAGCTATATCAGATAGGATGTGATAATCATGGAATCAAGAGATAGGATGTGATAATCATGGAATCAAGAGATATGATTGATGAAAGTTCTTTGCAAACAATTCAGCTTTGTCTTTAGGTGAGGTAACAAAATCTAATCTCTGCAAAAGAGGAAGAATGACAGATTTGCCCATATTATGGACACTTAAAGATTCTCCAAAAATCTCTGGTGCCTAATTTTTGATATAAAATACGAGATTTTGTGACCTGAGAATAGCGAGCTTTGACAATTATAGTATATTTGAAAAAATCTTTTTACAAAGGCTTCTGTTTTTTGAAGAATTTTTTTGACGATGTATATGGAAGTAATGGTTACGGTTGGAAATTGCAGCAGCACATTGAGAGAAAAACCATGGAGAAGATTGAGAGAAAAACTATGATCAAATGCTCCTAAGGGTAAATGTGGAGAAACTGAACACTGACTAGGATCAGAAACAAGACATAAGTTGAGTAAAGAAGGTAAATGATTTGGATTGTCTGGAAAGTAATCTGGAAAATTGACTATTTGGGTTAGAGATTGAGAAAGGCTTAAGTTGTGGGCCTTAATATCTGCAGAATCACTGGTACTAGAGCCAAGCCAGTGTGATGAGCATTAAAGTTATCAATAGCAACGATATTTGCGGAAGGATAAAAAGAAAGGGCTTAGTTAATTTAATCAGAAATAATATTAAAATGAGTGCAGTCTTGAGTTAAAGAATTTTAGTGAATTTAGAGAACTTGGGGATGAAAATGGTTTTTTGTATTTTTATAATTTTTGATACTTTAGTTATTTTAAAAATTTTTAAAGACCTTGACTCATAGCACAGAAAAACTCAGTACACTATCTAACTTAGATCTTAGCAATTGTCTATAACTTTTTCAAATCTATTATTATTATTTTATAAGTATATTATTTTTATAAATCAAGTTTTATCAATCATTTCCTAGTTTTTCATAGTGTTAAATAGCAATTTAATCATTTCCTTGCTCTTTGACACTATTCTTTGTTTTCTAATAACTTCTAATTAAATATTATGGTTGCTTGTAATCTTGTAAGTGGATTAGTTTAAAAAAAAAAAAAAAAATTAAAGCAGTTTTACTCCCTAATTTTTTAAAATTATTTCTTGTTCATTAAATTAAAAAAACAAGCTTAGCAAAGAAAACATCTTTAGTCAAAGATAAAAAGAGATTTAAAACAAACTTAGCAAAGAAAATATCATGAGTCAAAGATGACCTTTGCTGCTTGACACCCTCAGTTAGCTATAAAATCAAAATATTAATTTCATCACAAACTCAAATTTTGTGTGTTTAGAAAGTTTCATATGTTTCTATTTCTACTTGCGGAAAGTATTTGGCTTCTGGTTCAAGTAATGGTGAATTATTTACATGGAACCTTTTAAATAAGTCTATAATAAAACAGTAAGTTATAATTTATATACTTATATGTGTGTGTTTGTTTTTGTGTGGGTATATATAATAAATTAAAACTGACTTATTGGCAACGCTTTTGTTATTTATTTTATATTACCCTATTCAATCCTAAATCATTAGTTAAAAACTATTCAGTTTTTAACTAATGATTAGAATAGAATAATAGAATATGAATTCTTTTTTTTATTCTTTGAATTAGTTTTCTACACATAATGTGTAATATCTACAAAAAGCATTATTTTGTTCTCTACAAAAAGCATTATTTTGTTTTGAATAGCTCCATACTATAGTTCACACTGCCTTTGTAATTATAAGCCTAGGTTATTTCATACTTTCAGAATCTTTACATTTTATATTTAAGGGTTGTTGTTAAAAGATTAATATTATCATTTAAATTTTTTTTTTCTCTAAAATAGAATAAGTTTCTCCCTCCCCAAAAGGCAGAGAATAGAAAATTTTTGTTCCCAGTCTTCGATTTCTAATTTAGGATATATAATACATAAGACATCACTGATGACATAATAGTAAAAGGATAGGCAAAGAAGAGTTTGCATAAAATGACAGATAAGGTTGAAGCTAGTGCTTGTGGGTTTTTTTGTTTCAATAATATGATATACAATTAGGGAATCCAATACCGGTCAAAAAATCAATACCGGTATTTCGATATTATAAAAACATAATACCGCATTACCGGTATTAAAACCGGTGTTAAATATTTTACATTTTTAAAGGAAAGTAAATAAATTTACGAATCATGAAAACTTTAAAAGAATGTAAATTTATTGATCTATATGGTAGAACCTTTATCTTTAAGTTTATCTTATAAGTTTTTCAAAAACAAAGAGCATCCAGAGTTTTGTCATCCATTCTGCACCAGAACTTATTTAAAATAATACCGGTAGCAGAAAATCAATAAAAATCTCTATTTTCATTGATTTCAAATACCGAAATGTCGGTATTTAAGCCTTTTAATACTGGTATTCCAAACTAGACAAAATCAACCAAAATCCCAGTTTTCGGTATCCCGGTATACTGGTATTGGATTCCCCATATACAATAATTAATATATAATAGTTTTATATTAAAATAATAAATAATCAATGTTCAATATAATAATATTGATACCTATATTCTACTTTATAGATACATTCATCCTCAAAATAAAGGTATTACATCTTTATCATGGAAAGAAAAAGAAAGCGAAATACTTTTTGCTAATGTTGATGTAAGTTCATTAGATTTATATTAAATTAATGTTAAATTGATGTAAGGTTCATTAAGTTGTATTTTAACCTTGAGAATTCTTATTTTAAAGAGTATAAAATATTATTTATTAAGAGTATTAAGTATTTTCTTTTTATTACTTTTATTACTTTTTATTACTTTTATTACTATTTATTAGGGAGAATTTGGTTTTGTTGAAGTTTTAGAGAAAAATGTTGATGCAAGTTTTCATTTTTATTTATTGCATTTTTTTATTGTTCTGAAATTAGTATATAGGAGTCTATTTATCAAATATATATATATATATATATATATATATATATATATATATATATATATATATATATATATATATATATATATATATATATATAATGAAAAGTTATATTATATATTATTAATCAGAAGTTGAATAATGTTAGTAAAAGAAAACTTTTCTAAAAGGTTAATAAATTACCAAGTGGAATGAGTGTAAAGGGCTGTATTTGTTATTATATTTGAATTACATTAATTAATTGTTATTTTAATTGAATTAGATTAATTATAATTAAATTATAGAATAATTATAATTGTTATTATAATTTAATAATTATATAATTAGATTAATACCAAAATGAACACTTTTTTATGTGGTAAATGTTTTCACTCAAAAATTTAAGATCTCTACTATAATAAATACTAATAATATATCACTTATAATTCAAATAGTTACAAAATATTACCTACATACCTAAAACTGATTTAAAAAAGTTTGAAAAAAAAGGTATAAGTTTTGAGTAATTTAATTTGAATCATCCAAAAAATAAATATTTTTTACTCTTTTCTTTGTCTCAGTATCAGTTTTTACTTTTTATACAATCCATAATAAATAATAACTGTAAAAGTTTTAGCTAAAAATAGGGACGAAGCCAGACCTGTTTTGGTACCACTAGATTGGTATTGGCGCCCAAAAAATATTTACTCTTTGTTGTTTTTTTAATGAAAATAGGAAAAAAAGTTTTTGCAGTAGTAAATAACTAGTATATAAGTAGTAAATGCAGTAGTAAATAACTGATTTATAATAAGTAGTAAATGCAGTAGTAAATAACTGATTTTTTGTTTATTCTAGCAAGTTCATTTTTTCTTCAGGACAATAAAATGGATTGTTAACACTTACTGTAACTTGTTTAATGTTTAAAAATGTCATTTAATTACTAAAATGTTAGATTTAAAAAGTGCAGTTTTTTCGAAAGATAGAATGATTTTAAAATATTCAATTAAAGTAATGTTAACTTAAGCTTGTTGGCAATTAAGAGTTAACTTCTTTTAATAATAAAAATAACTAAAAATTTCATTCTTAGCAACTTAGCAAATGCGCAAATTTAATTTTTAAATGAATTAACTTCGCTATCGTATTTTATTCAAGGAAACCGAAAAAAATGAAAGGAAAACTTTTTTTAGAAAGTGCTACTAATTTTAATTATATATTTTTTTAACCATTAAGTTTACTATAATTACCTCTATTATTTAATTATCTCTATTATTTAATTATTTCTATTATTTAATTATCTCTATTATTTAATTATCTCTATTATTTAATTATCTCTATTATATATCTTTTTTATTATTAAGCACTGTGAAAATTATTAACTTTTAATAAAAGTTAAATAAACAGAATTGCCAATACTAAACCCTCGCCTCATACTACGCTAAAAAAAAAACATCCTTTTATAAACTCTGGGTTTTGTCACTGAAAATTACACGCCAGTTCTCAAGATGTTATCATTTAAAATAATACTGAAGCATTTCAGTAATAATCTAAAGAGACAACTTTATTCTAATATATTTTTTTTAAGTTGGTGCTTGAGTATTAAATACAAATATTTTTTTCTTTTTAAAATGACCAAAACTGAATCTTTTTTATATTTCTCTTGATAACTTTATAATAATATTAATTATTATAAAGTTTTTAAGAGAAATACAAATAATACAAAAAGAGTACATTAAATTAACATCCATATACTGCACATTAATTGCTTTAGACCATTGGTTACATTTCAATTCAGCATTTCGAACAAAATTTAACAAAAGATTTAAAAAAACAATTAAAGCAATAAAATCCTTACTATTTTTATTCCACCTAGTTTCTTAGTTTCCACTTAATGGGTTGATGAAAAGTTTTGTATAAGGATGATTTATGTATACGCATACATCGTCAAAAAATCATGTAAGTACCTCATGCATTAATTGTAATGCATTTAACCTTGAGTTTATAAATGCAATTTTTTCATTAAAATGAAGTCAATATAATTTCTTATGGTTATGTCGTTTTTTTTAATTTAGCAAAATTATTATTATTATTTTTTAACATCGTTCTTAAAAACTCTTTGATAAAAGTTGTTCCCTAATTTGTCTGTTTTTGATGAAACAGGGTTTCAGATTTTTTTTTTTTTTTTTTATATATTTAAGCATCTTGATCATGATCTTTATTCATATTATTGTTTTGAAATGATACTATTTATTTCTGCTGTTAAAAAAGCTTCGATATTATGTTCTAATAAAACCATTCAATATTATTTTCTAACATTTTTGCAACTTTGTGATAGTATCCTCAAACATTTGTTTTTCTTCAGGCATTTTGCTGTGTTCTGAAAACTTTTCAGTTTGACTGGTGAAATCCCAAGCAATAGAGATAATCAAACTTCTATTTTCCTTGTTTTGTAATTCCCACTCATTACCATTCCTTCTGTGAAATAAAATAAGTTTCTGGTGCTATCATATTATAAATATTTATGATATAAATTTTTGTAGAATATTTTATAACTCAAAGGTTTTGTTTTTGTATCTAAAATTTTAACAATCATCATAGATTTTATTAAAATATATTTCGCTTTTTCTTCCAATATGTTTTAACTGTAATAAATGTGAGGTTATCTTTTACATTACTTTTTTTAATTACCTTGTATGTTCAAAATTTAATTGCAACACTATTATTTTTCTCAACAAATATCTGCCATAAATTTTCTCATGATAACGGCATATAACAGGTCCTACATAAATATCTCACACTCTATGGGGGGGGGGGGTTGTGGTTTTGTAATGGTTTGTACAGGACTTGTTACCAATGATGTCCTGACAAGGGGGAGGGGTCAAATTACTGTTGAAAATTGCATGATATATTTTATGGACGACCCCTAATTCTTATTAAACTAAATTCTCCTAAATTTACTTTCCATATTATTTCTTTTCACTTTCCAAAGAAAGTTTTTTGTCACTGCAAATGTCACATTTTTTATATATTATATGTATACATTATTATTACTAGCTAAAAAAAATTTTCACCAAGTCCTAAAATTCTTAATATCATTTGTTATGATATCAAAAAATAGTTAAGTATAAACTTTTGAAAAAAGCATTATATTTGCTTAATTTCAATATATCAGTCCTCAGTTCAAACTTATAATATATAACATAATTAATATAATCAAATGCTGTTGAGAAAGAGCGCCAGGCAATCACAATATCTATGACAGCCAATGCAATGATTGTCTGAAAATTTAATTGTAATTTGTTTTTCTTATTTAATATAATTTGTAAGTCAATCAGTTACATTAGATTATTATATTTCTTTTATTGTGTAAACATTGTCACTTGATAAAATTGCTTCATACCAACATATTAAACAATTTTAATAAATTTTAATAAAATAAAATATTGAATTTATAGGTCTAATGTAATGCATTTTATGCTTAATTCGGTTCAGAATTTTTTTCGTCTTTTTTTTAATTTGTGATCTAAGGTCAGTTAATAAAAATAAGGTAGGAAGGATATATAAAAGATAAATTTAATAATTATATGTGCACTAAAATAGGACCTATCTCAAAACTATTCCGTCAAATTTTGCATTAACATAGTATTCATATGGTACAATGTTAACATTCAAATGTAGTAGTGGTGCAGTGTCAGAGCACTTGCCTTCAGTTACAATGTTGACACAAAAAAATTGCAAATGTTATCTGTGATTGAGAATTAAAGGAGGCTATTATTAACTTTAAATCTAAAGAATTAAAAGATAAAATTGGTTTTCATGGTGAAAATGATCCTGCTTATGAAGAATTTTTTTTACTTACTAATTGTAATGTTGTTATTTAATTCTTTTTTTTTTTTTGTATTTAGATAGCATCTTAACTGACAAATCAAATTTAAATGCATTAAAGTTGCTTACAAAAAACAAGAGTTTCTAGAAAAGCTATATATTAAACAGAAGAAGCTTATAAGTTGATGTTATGTATAATAATTTATTAAATTTGTTTATCAGTTTATTTAGTTAGTAGTGATAAGTTGTGACTCTAGAAACTAGTCGGTAATGTTTAACTCAATGAAAAGGCATTGTTAACTCTTGATAATTTTGCAGACACTGATAAAACTTAGTTTTTAAAATATTAACAACTCTTAGTGAAGTAGGTGTAGGCTTGCCAGCTGCATAGTGTTTATTCTCTTCCCAGTAATCATATTAATTCCTTTTACTGTATCACTGTTTATCAACTTTCATTCTTTTCATTGGATTCTTAGCAGTAGCAATTCTTAACTGTTATCATTGTTCGTTTTGTGTCCAGTGATACATAATTATTGAAGAAAGTTAACACCTCAAGAATGGACAGATGCCAACTTTAGTCTGTCCATTCTAAGCAAGTAATGAAATTTTGGTGTGTGCGTGTGTGTGCGTGCGCGCATGTAGTATCAAAAACACATACATAATTATAGTATATAATATATATAACATTATTAACATATATAATATTTTTATGTGTTAATTATTTTTAGAATGATGAAGATGTTCAAAATGATCAATCATTTAATGATGATAAATTTGAAGAAGATTTTTCTTTAAAAAAAGCAAAAAAAAGAATCAATGAAAATGATATTGAATTTGAGGAAGACCTTTTAACGTCTGCTAAAAAACGCCATCGTGTAAACAACTTAAACAACTTTCTTGATGATAACGATGATAGTGATACTGATGATGATGATCCTAATATATCTTTAAGTAATTATTTTCATTTTAAGTATTTTTATAAAAAAAATTTTTTTTGGTGTTTCTGTATTTCATTGTGATATTATTTTACTGATATTATTCATTTTTAATTTTTTTAATAATTTAAGTCTTTATCTAGATTTAATCAAAGAAGGATTATTACCAAAGCCAAACAAAGAACCTATAGTCAATGAAAATGATGATTCAAATTCTATAGTTCTTCCAATAACTGAAAAGGTATGATTATATTTTTAATGAAGTTAAAGTTATATATATTTAGAAACAGGTATTAAAAAGGAGGTATTAAGTAACAGATGAACATTTTAATAATACCTATTATTATTATAAATCAAAAGAACATTTATTAAGTAGGTGTTGTTATTAAGTAACAGTTACTAAAAACTATTTTTACTTTTTTGTTTTAATATTTTGGTTTAATAAATTTTTAATAATACCTGTGAATATTATCAACCAAAATTTTATAAAATAACTTTTATATTTTTAAAAAACATAGCGCTAGTTTTTTTGTTTTATAACATGTAATTACAGTTACCTTCAAGACACACAGACATGTACCAAAATAAATCTGTTTGTGTTCTAATGTGGTGATTACAGAAAGGTGTGTTACTTTAATTAGCTAATTATTTTGAAATATCATCTTATTAGTATTATTCAAAATTTAAACAACTCTGATTCCAAAACAGTTTGTTTTAATTGAAATATCATCAAATCAAGTTAAGTAAAGAAAAAAAACTTTTGCATTTTCAGATCTTGGTGTATCAAACAAAACATTTTCTAAAAAATTACAGATTGAGAACATTGCAGAGCATTGTGAAACAATATATGGACACTAGTGCAATCAAAAGGAAATTAGGAAGTAGAAGAAAAAATTTTTTTATTAGATGAGATCTTGTTAAATAATAAAAGAAATCCTTAGACAATAAAAAAAAGATTTCTGTTCCAACCTTTTTTTTAAGAAACGCGTGGTAAAGATGGCAGAATTATAGATAGAATTGTAAATAAGAAAAAGTTTATCAAATAAAGTAATATATCTTTACATGACAGCAATTAAGAGGAAAAAATATTTATAGAAAAAGAAAAAGACTAAGTAGTAAAAAAAAAGATATCGGAGAATTAATTAGAAAATCAAAATACTTAAAGTTTAGAGATGTGTAAGAACTTCATAGACACAAATAAATATAATTAAAGAACAAGAACAAGATAAATAACAAAATTAATAAACTGAGAGAAAGTAAAGAAAGAATCAAGTTAATGAAAGGAAAAGATCAAGAGTTTTTTACTTTTGTTTTGATTATTTTTTGCTCTAAATATTATTTGTAAATTTAAGTATTTTCCAGGATTTGTTTTTATTATTGATTGTTTGATTGTTATATGTACATTTAAGCAGTTATCATTGTTATTACTATTGTAATTAAATATTTATCATTATTATTAAATAATATAGCATTATTTATCCTATAATTATCCATTATTTACCTCATTACTATTTACATCATTATTATTTACCTCTTATAAATTTTATTTACCTAAAATTACTACTTATCTCCTTTTTTACTTATTATTACTTACCTTATTATCATCACATTATTTAAATATATATTATTTATGTTATACTATGTCTAAAGCTACTAGTGGTATTAATATATCTAAATTTATATTCTAAATCAAGTTAATAATATTCTATTATTATCTAGCTGTAATACTTATTCTCCTGTATTTATTTATTATTGTAAATAATAAATAAATACAGTATTTATATAAACACATTATACTGTATTTATATAAATACAGTATGTACATACATACATTATACTGTATTTATTGTTAGTATTTAAATCTCTTAAATCTACTAAATTTTAATTTTACTATCTTAAATAAATTCTTCTTTCTTTCTTAAATAAATTCTTCTTCTTTATGATCTCAGCATTTAGAATAGCAATCATTTCTAGATTAGCATTTCTTAGTCTTAATCTCTCAGTTTCTTTATAAATATATAGTATCTTTATTTAATTATTTTTTCTCTATGCTTTGTTTAAGCATAATAAGTAATGATAATAAGAAATCTTTGTAAATTCTGCAATGAAACAGTGGTTGGCCATAAAGGAATTCTATGTAATTACTACTCTTCTTGGTTGCACCCTAAGTGTAATTATATCAAATAACACACTTATAGCCTTCTTGAAAAAGATTCTACTGACTGGTATTGCAGTGACTGCATCAACAAAAATTTGCTATTTTGTTCACTTTCTGATTTTGAGCTTTCTTTAACTTTATCGTCTCTATACCAACCACAGACCTGCTCAGGAGATGCGTGCAGTCGCACGCCTTGAATGACCACGCATATATATTTTTTTGTTGATAACATGGCCACGATTTTTTTGCATTTATTAAAAATGACGCATTTTAAAAACGCGCTGAAAAAGTCAAATAATTAATCATCTTGTTGGTTTTTTTTTATTAATAATAGTTTATTATTACAATTATTTATGAGAAAATAAAAACCTAACAATAATGCACATATATATATATATTTGTAATTAATGATAAAATAAAAAGATAAAAATAATATATAAGTATATATATTTTTTTATTTGTTTTCATGCATTTAATAAAATTCTGGTGATTTTTCGTTAAGTTTTTGTTTACTAAATGAATCACGTCATTAAGTAATTATTATTTCTTCCTGTTGGCTTGACAAGGTTTTAACTGAAATTTTTTATATAAGGAGAATTAAAAAAAAGAACTTTTTTTTTTTTTATGTATTAAAATTATTTATTTTATTGTTTTTTTTTTTGTTTGTTTATGTACTATTATTTTGGTTGACATATAGATGTTTAGAAAAGATTTAAATATTTAAAAATTTAACTTAGCAGCATTATAAAAATTTAATCTTATAAAAATAAAGCAATGCGCATAAACGTAAGAAGTGTAAATAAAAACTTCGACAAACCAATCACTCAATTAAGTAATAATAAAGATGTAAAAATAAAATATTTTTCTGAAGTTGCTCTTGGTCTTGCAAAAAAACTATTTCCGGTTTGATAACTTTCATGAATGTTATGAAAAATCACTCAAGAAGAGTGCCACCAGTTTTTAAAAAATTTCTTTGTTAATTATTTTTAATGAATGAGTTCAATACTTATTAATGCAATTCTTTTGTTATGTAACTCTAACTCTTAATAATAGATAAAAAAAATCATGATAATTGCTCGATAATGTAAGTGATGTAATTTAAGTAAAAAATACAGTATCAAAAAAACAAGTTTATTTTAAAAAAGTTTTTATAAAAATTTTAAATTGGTATAGAATTATCTGCATTTTGTAAAAGTTTCTAATACAAACTGCTTTTATTTATTGTTAAAAAAGGTGATGTAATATGATTTTTTAAAAAGTTTTAGTAAATTGCAAATGTTATTTCTGTACTGTTTAAATTTATTAAAAATATGAATTTTAATGTTATGATTTTTTGCTTTTACTGTTTATATAGTTTGTTTTTATTAGATATTGATTTTAGAATTCCAATGGTGATCCAAGGTTTTGATTTAAGTTTAATTTGTTTAGCAGTTAGTTTTTTATAGGGTGCATGTTGATCAAGAATTTTGTTAAAAGTTTAAAAAAAATAGTGCAACGATTCATTGACATTGTTATTTGTATTTGCTAGTCTGCATTAGAGATATCCTGAATAAATTTTTTATTATCGAAATTTTGGAAAGTTCGTCTGAATATTACCTCTTTAGTTTTTTTGGGAGAAGGACAAAGAATGCAGATAAACTGCGCCATATGATCAGAAATCGATATTGTAAGATTGCCTGAAATTAAATCAGGAGTTTATAAATTTAAAAAGATGTTATCAATGAATGTCTTAGATGTAGCAGTTATACGTCTAGGTTGAATTATAGAAGGGAAAAAAGAATTAACAATGTTAAAAATACATGAAAAGGTATAAAAAAAATTATTAATATCAAACCTTCTTCCTTTTCCAGTAAATCTATTAATCTCAAATTTAATGGCAATACAGTTTCAAATACCAAAACTGTATCAAACATATTTAATAATCACTTTGTAAATACTCAACAAACACTGTATCAAACATTTAATAATTACTTTGTAAATACTCAACAAAAAATGTTTCACCTAAATGTAATTTTTCAGACTATTTAAATAACCCAAATAAAAACTCCTTTTTTATAGATCCAGTCACTGGAAACAAAGTATCAAATCTTATAATAAGTTTTCAAAGTAAAAAAAGTTTTGGTATCAATGGTATTCCCATATTTCTTCTCAAACTTGTTTCCCATATTATCTCGAAGCCTTTATGTACAATGATAAATAGCTCTTTTGAAAATGGACTTTTTCCAGATGTCTTAAATATAGCTAAAGTTGTTCCACTTTATAAAAAAGGCTCTAGAACTGACCACACTATCGCCCAATGTCGCTTCTGTCAAACATTAAAATATTTGAAAAAGCTATGCACAACAGACTTTACAACATTCTAGATTAATATCAATGTCTTTACAAACACCAATATGGGTTTCGAAGCAAGCATTCCACAAATCATGCACTTATTGAAATCACTGAGGTTATCAGAAAAGCTCTTGACAATAAGCTTTTTGCTTGTGTCAAGAGCTTTTCTCAGAAGAATTCCAGTTTACTTAGAAGAATAATTCTATTCTTCTAAGTAAACTAGAATACTATGGTATTAGAAGAATTTCTCTCCAATGGTTTACCTCATATCTTTATAATAGATTTCAATTAGTATCTATTAATGGTAACACATCTTTAGTAAAATCCACTACAGGTGTACCTCAAGGCTCTGTATTAAGACCATTGTTTTTCCTTGTTTTCATTAACGACCTTAATTTATCATTAAAATATACAACTTCCTACCATTTTGCTGATGACACCAACTTCCTTTTAATTAACAAATAATTAAAAAAAAATAAACAAGTATATTAATCATGATCTATCTAATCTAATTCAATGGCTTCTATCTAACAAACTGTCTCTGAATACTAGTAAAACTGAAATTATCATCTTTAAATCAAAGCAATCTAAAATCAGTAAAAACCTAAATTTTAGGTTAAGTGGTCAAAAAATCAATCCAGTTATGTACCTAAAGTATCTTGGAATCAAAATTGACTCAAATTTAACTTTTTCTCATTATCTTAAGGACTTCTCAATAAGACTATGTAGATCAAACGGGATGTTAGCTAAAATTCGTCATTATATCAATTTTGAAACTCTTATCAATATATACCATGCCATTTTCGGATCACATCTTAGGTATGCGTGTCAAGCTAGGGGACAAATCCGCACCCAAGAAATTTTAAGATTATCCAACTTACAAAACAAATCATTAAAAATAATATATTTTCAGCATTATCATTTTAACTCCAATCATCTTTATTTTTTATTCAAAATACTCAAAATTGATGATCTAGTTCAACTATTAAATTGCCATTTTGTCTTCTATCATAAACAAAAATGCCTACCCAGCACGTTTACAAATTTTTTTACTGTTAGAGAAAGCTGTCGCTATCATCTGCAATCTGTTATAGCTGTAATCTTTATGTACCAAATCATTCTTCTGTAAAATATGGCCTAAAATCCATAAAATACCAAAGTGTAAAATCATGGAAAAGTCTACCTTCACCATTAAAATCAATTGACTCAATTACTAATTTCAAAAATTGTCTTTTTAACAATTTTTTAGCAAGATATTATACCTGAAACCTCTGAAATATATTGTTATGCTGTTATTATTACTCTCTTGATACCTACTAATTTTATTATTAACTTTTTGTTCTCATATTTTTATTCTTATTGTTAGTATTGATATTAATAATACTCTTCTATCTTTATTAGTAAATTGCTATTTTTATTCATAACTTTATAAGTATTATTATTGCTTTTTTTAATTTTTTCTTAAATTTATTTACTACTTATACTATATAGTTGTTATTATCACTATTATTGCTATCTAATATTGATTGTCTAATATTTTTTATTGTTATTGTTGGTATTGTTACTAATAATATTCCTCTTCATCATCATCTTATTATTAATGTTAATATTATTTCTATAACTATTATCATTACTATTATTATTGTTATTATTACTATTGTTATTATGATCACTTTTATTGTAATGTTGCAGATTTTTACTTTAGATTAGTACTTGTACTATTTGTAAAAGTCCTTGAAATTTTACAACTTATTTCAGAATATATTGAATTAAATTGAATTAGCAAATAAATTTAAGATAAATTTAATTCCTTCCACTATACAAAGTGAAGAGGAATAGTAACTATAAATCTTATACAAAAAACAAGTTCCTTGTCATGTAGAATAGCATAAAAATGTTGCAATTAATTGTTCAAAGCTCTATAAAGAATTATGTGCTGAAAAAATCTTGTTTGATTATTGATAATGAAACTTATTTTGCTGCATCAATTCGATCTCTTCCAGGGCACCAATATCAATTCCAAGTATAAATGCATTGAAATGCAAAAATTTGCTAAAAAGTTCTTAGTTTGACAAGCAATTTGTAAATGTAGGGAAAGAAGCTCTTGTTTTGTGACTACAGGAACAATTAATACCAAAATAAACATCAAAGAATGCCTCAAGAAACGTCTTTTGCTGTTTCTTTGATCTCGTTCGAGTTATTTGCTAATTTGGCCTGATTTAGCATCATGTCACTGCTCTAGGACAACTTTAAATTAAAGAATATAAAGTAGGTTTCGTTGAAAAACACTGCAATCTACCAAATTTTTCTAAATTATGTCCTAACAAAAGATATTGGGCTATTGTCAAAGGAAAATTAACGTTCAATATAAAAGAAGATAAAAACATCTGTCTTTAAAATTAAATGGATTAGAGTTACCAAGAATGACCTACCAAAGACCATGCAAAAGCTGATGATGAGTGTAAAACTTAAAATGTGTGCGTTCTCAAGTACACAACTTCACAAACTTACTTTTGTGAAATTTATGAATGTTAATATATGTACTTTCAAAATATATGTAACATTCGATATTGAAATACAATAGTTAAATAAATGCTTTTTAAAATATCTCTGCAGATTTTCTCTGTTACATCTTTTATAATTTGTTTGAAAACAATATAACAGTTTTGGTGTTATGATTTTTTTTTATAAGTCATCGTTTTTTCATTCAGAAATCAAATCATTTTTTCAATTTTATAATCAATATTAACAACATCATTTCAGAAAGTTGGAAAATGACAAGTATGACTTAACTTAAAATTATTATTATTATTATTATTATTTTTTTTTTAATGTCATTCACCTCCTTAAAGCCACAAGGGCTACTACAGTCATGGAGGCTACATTGTTGTGATTACAATTCTCTTTCATCTTTTTAACATCATTCACCTTCTTAAGGCCGTTTCATCTTTTTAACTCCAAAACATGAACTCAGACATATAAGACCGTTGCACATTGAATTATCGAAATCATATAGAACAGGATCACAAAGACAATCTCCGAACCATTGAAATCATATAGAATAGGATCACAAATACAATCATCTAAAATCATTGAACCATCAAAATCATCAAACAGGATTATAAAAACAATCATCAATAATCAACGAATCATCAAAATCATATAGAATAGGATCACAAAGACAGTCATAAAAAGTCATAGAAACAATATTATAAAAGTTTAAACAATCTTATCACTTATAGCCTTTTTTACAAATGTTTTTATGATGTAATATTAATATGTATTAAATATAACAGTAAAACATTTAATATAACAGTAAAACATAACGTCTATTGTTTATATACAAAAATACAAATAATTTTTAGCAACATAATGCTTAAGACGTTTTTTACTTACATAAAAACTATATATGTCAAATTTTTCACTGACCACTATGCTTGTATTATTTTTTTTGCTGTGTAAAATAGTAAAATAGAAAACCAACCAATAGAATCACTCATCAAAGGTTAGAGCATAAGATCATGAAAATTTATACATTTTTTGATTAGTGTAAAAAATTATTTAGATTTAGTTTTTTGTTTGTTGTTATATATATATATATATATATATATATATATATATATATATATATATATATATATATATATATATATATATATATATATATATATATATATATATACATATATATATATATATATATATATACATATATATATATATATTTGTTCACTATATAACTAGGCAGGACATATTTAATTTTCATTATATTTTTATCGATATTTTTATAAATAGTTATCTACGCGATGAATTGTAAAAAATATAAGTAAACTATATATGTATATATGTATATATGTATATATATATATATATATATATATATATATATATATATATATATATATATATATATATATATATATATATATATATATATATATATATATAAGTATAGTTTACTTATATTTTTAAAACTCATCGCGTAGATAACTATTTATAAAAATATTGATTAAAAAACAATAAAAATTAAATATGTCCTGCCTAGTTATATAGTGAACAAATCTCAAAAAATTGTTTTAAAAAAACTGAAAAAATAATTTAAAAAAAAAGTTTTTTTTCTGTTTAGTAATAAATTGTTTATTGTTAAAAATTTTGTTATTCATTTTAAATTTTAGAATTTTAATTTTTCTGTTTATTCTATTTTTTTTTTTTCAAGGAAAAAAAGCCAGTGTTTCATTTACCTTTTCAACCTTCATCAACACCTCCTCACTTAATGCACAGATTTATGGTAAAATACTTTTACTTAGTTTTTTTTTTTCTTTCAATTCTTGACATTTGATATGAATGCAAAAATAATATTTTATAAAACCCTTTAGGTATGGAACTCCATTGGCATAATACGTTGTCATTCAGAAGACGAAATTTCATCAATTGATGTTGAGTTCCATAATGCAAGCACTCACTATCCATTACATATCGCCAATGTTTTGAATAACACTATGGGAACACTTTCAAACACTGTTATAGTTCTGGCTGCTGAAAAAGATGGTGATACACCAAGGTATACCATGCTTACATAGTTAATTTTGTCTTTGTTGCATTCAAGATCTTATTTACTGGCCACACAAATTTTTATAAATTATATATTACGCAGTTACTTAATATATAAAATTTGCCATATATAATAAATCAAAGTACTTTTAATATAATTAAATATATTTAAAAATAACTTTATTCTTTTTTTTTTTTTTTTTTTTTGACAAAAATATTTTAAAAGTAGTTTTTTGATTAGTTTTAAAAAATATTAAAAATTAAAACTTTTTCCATCAAAAAAAAAAAAAAAATTATGTTTATGCAACTATAAAATCGTTTTCCCTAATTATGTTTTTTTCTTTTGAATTTTGAATTTTGAATCATACAATGTTGCAATTACTGTGATTTGGGTAGAAACAAGATGTGAATTATACAATAGTTACTGTGTGTAACACAGTAACTATTGTATAATTAAAACTATTGTATTTATAGTGAATAAAGGCTAGAGATGGTGTCTCGATAAAAATACTCAGCAGATGTTAAACGTATCTGGCTACTGTCTTGTAGAAGACTTAAGGGGTACAGATTCTATCTGTTGACCAGCCTCGCACCCTTCTTCGTCTATTAGGCTGGCGTAGTTGTATTTTTAATTCATTGTTTCCAGTTTAAGATGTTGAACGCTGGATCTTCCTGACTTAATGCATAGGTTTGCTTGTGTCTCTATTTTTAGGTCTAGACAACTCATTCTATTATCTCCTAATGAGGGTACAGCTCTAAAACTCAGTTTTATGGTTTTGAGGCCGGCTGGTAGTCAGGTTTCCCGAACTATGTGGTAGCTCTCAGAGAGGCTGATTCCATTAACAGCTGAAAAATATCAAAGTATTAATAATGCTATGTTGCGCATTGATGGTGTCCTTGCACTTTTTTGTGCATTGTCAAGGCCTCATTTGGAGCCCTTTGTTATGGCTTAGGGTTTATTAATAGTAATAAGGCAATTGCTTGGACAATTAAACAGTGTACTGAGTACTATCAATCTTTGAGTCAAGTTCTTTAACAAAACTTAAAAATGAATAAAGTACCAAAAACTATAAAATACCAAAAACTCTTGTTATCACCAAGTTCTCTAAACCTATCATTCAGTAATATTCGTGGTCTTTGAAGTAACTTTTCTTCAATAAAGTCTTATTTCTTGCAAAGTTCACCAGATTACTTGCTCTTTGTGAGACTAATTTGAGTTTAGCTGACTCATCTTGTGATCTTAGTTTTGATGGTTATCTTCCTTTAATTCGTAAAGGCTCCAATAGTCACATGCTCAGCCTGAGCATTTACATTTGTAAGAATTCACATATTTGTTGCGAAACTAGGTTTGAATCCACAGACTTTTTTTTTTGTGCTTCCTTTTAGCACCACTTTACTCTATCGTCTTTCACTTTGTTCTACATTGCTCTCCTTCATATGAGACTGCACTCTTCTTGATGTTATTTCTGATCATGTTGACCACGCCCTCTCTATTTATCCATCAGCCAATATTGTTGCTGTTGGTGACTTTACATACTGTATGGCTTGGCTCTAATGTCAGTAACTCTGCAAGCGTTAAGGCCCTCAACCTTTGCCTTTCTCAATCTCTAACTCAAATAGTCAACTTTCCAACTTGCTTTCCAGACAATCTGGAATTATTTTCTTTCTCTACTGTCTTGTTTTTGATCCTAGTCAGTGTTCAGTTTCTCCACATTCACCTTTAGGTGCTTCTGATCACAGTTTGATCTTTAAAACTATTAATTTATTCTTCTTTGTCATCAGAATCCCCCTATCATCGTACCTCTTACATCTACCTTAAAGCTGACTGAGACTCTTTCCATGATTTTCTTCATAATGGTCTTTAGGTAAAAGTTATGTAAGAAGCACCTCTCTTGTATGGTTCAGACTATCACTACACCTAATGACAAAACTGAATTGTTTGCTAAGAACTCTTTATCAATATCATCTCTTGATTCCACTAGTTGTGTTCTACCTGATATAGCCGTCAAACAGGTTAATCCATTGCTTGACATTCGTATCATTCCAGCTTCTATATCAAAAGTGATTTCCTGTTCAAACTCTTCCACAGCTTGTGGTCCAGACAACATACCAGTTGTAGTAGGAAAATAATATTCCATAATAGTAGGAAAGTCCTTTAAAATATGTTTAAAACATAACGCAAGTTTATGGCTTGTACACTCAACCCCATCACACAGTGGCACAGCATCCTCAATGTAGGCTTTTAAACCTCCTTTTATACTAGAATTGACACTTTTTGTGTCCATACAAGCAAAGCGAGTATTTTTAATGAGATATTATTAGCTCTAAAATAATTTTGAATAATATCAAAAACATTTGGAGCTAATAGACCTAATATGCTTACTTAAAGGAACTAGTCCTATAAAATGTTCTTTTGAACACAATGATGCCGTTGTGTTTGAAAGTGGCATGTATAGTTAACTGTTCAATCGAAGTAATATCAGAAGTTTCATTTAAAAAAAGAAAAAACTCCCACCATTTCTAAGTGACTGGAGTAAAAGGATTTTTGACAAAATCAAAGATAATATTTATATACTTAGCAATATATTCTGAAGACATGTATGTTGTATTTGCTGGGCTAGACAAAACGTGTGCCTTAACTTCAATAATGTCTGAAAAATTATGAGTATGTGCCCAGTTTTTCATAATCAACAAATGCGTGACTTGAAAGTAGATTTTAATAATGAAGCAAGAGTTACTTGTTTTAAACGTTTATTTTGCAAGGGTATTTTCATGCAGCATTTTCCAGATATTCAAGTCTAGCTTAGAACTTTCATCAAAAGTTTTTTTATTTTTTAAAGCTATAGTATGCCTATGCATATTTGGGGTGATCTGCAAACTTGCCAGAGTTTTCAATAAATGCATGATAACTTTTTTTTCCAAGGGCAATCGACATGCAAACTTTACAAAACCAACCTTATTTTGATGACGAATAAAAAAAATCAGGAAATAACACCTTGTACTTTTCTGTTGTTCAAAGACATAGGTCTTCTACATTTTTGATTGGTATTTGTGCTGGTTTGACTTTCTTTGTTTTTCTTTTTCCTGAACTGAAGTTAAAGGAACTGCCTATACATTGTTTGCTTACTGCTGATGTAGGCTGATGAGGACTTTGGTATACTACTGATGAAGAATGATGAAGACTTTCTCTTACTGTTGATGTAGACTGAAGAAGGCTTTGCCTCACTACTAATGTAGACTGATCAGGACATTCATTTACTGTTGAAATAGACTGATCAGGACTTTCGCTTACTATTGATGTAGACTGATAAGAACTTTTGCTTACTACTGATGTAGACGGTTGAGGACTTGATTACTATTGATTTATATTGTTGACTATAGTTTTGCACACTAGTGTCTTTGTGTTTCTCAAATAACTTTACAATAGTTTTTGATTGAATTTTTTTATAATTCTTTTTAAAGTAGTATTTTCCATTATTTGAAGGCATTTTGTTGTCGCTTTTATTTTATTGACTTGAATCTAAATTTCTAATAGAACGTCGAAGTCATTCATGAATATTAAGGTCTTTAAAGTGAAACATTTTTCAATAGAATATAATGTTTTTCAATAGAATAGAACATTTTAATAATAGAATATTAAAAATTAAAAAGTTTTTGTTGTTAAAAAAGTTTTTGTTGCTTTAGACAAATAGAGCATTAATGTCTTTTGAGTGATTTTTATTTAATCAAATAGAATTTCGGTTGAATAAAAAGTGAGTGATAAGAACTTTGACTGCTTCATGGTATTTTAGAATTAATTCAATAAACAACTACGGCCGAGGGATATTGGTCGACCGTGCATGTAAATATTTAACGATAAATTTCTCTGTTTTGTAACTTTAGTATGTGTAAATTAATAAAAGTTGATTTTTGTATTTGTAAATTTTGTTTTACTAAATTAAACTTCTTTTATTTGTTTATTAAAATTTTTGATTTGTAAAATTAAAAAAAATTGTAAAAATTTTTATTGTAAACAAAAAGTTTGAAATAAAAAAAGCAAATAAAAATGAAATAAGCGAAATGAAAAACTAAAGAACAACGAGGTCAGTTAAAAAATAAAGTTTTTATTTCATTTTTGAATGAATGACTTGCTACACTTTTTTTCTTGTAAAGAAAGTAATTGTTCAGACTGGCTAACACCCTGTAATATTAGGTATGTAATTTGCCTATATAAGGTGCACCTGTGCACTTTCCAGTGGTTTGATCTATTAATCAATATTGATGCATCGCCTAATCCAAATTAATCAGTCAATGCCATTGGTCAATAGTGAAGCCAATTAATTGGTTGATGGTTACCAATGACATAGGCCCAGTCACTGCTGATATATAGGTACAACTAATATATGTGTTTTACAGTCTTAATTTTCTTATAATAAACATATATATATATATATATATATATATATATATATATATATATATATATATATATATATATATATATATATATATATATAAACATTAAAACCTATTATTAGCCACAATCGGTCTTTGCCATTGGTACATCCCTAAGTATTTTCATTTGTTTAATGCAAAATAAATTTTAACTTCTTAAAGCAGCTTAAAGTAGCTTTAACTGCTTCAGAATCATTCAACTAAAGTAATATAAAAGGGTATAAATGAGATTTATAAAAAAAAAAAACTTTAATATCATACTAACTTTTACATTACAATGTAGTTTCTATATATTATTATTTTTTATATTTTATTACAAAATTAATTTAATGGTTTAATAGTTAATTAGACCACTCAAAAAAGTTAACTCCCTTAAAGAAAAATGCATAAAAGTTGCATTTTAAACCTGAATATATTTTAAGAAATAATTTTTATTCTTATTATATTTTTAAGTTATTTTAAAAATATAATCATAGGAAGGGGAACAATGCAAATCAATCATATAATTTTTATAGTTTTTAATTTTATAATCATATAGTTTTAATAACTTTGTTTTGTTTCTATTTATTGTTCTATTTCTATTCTCGTGTTTACTTTTTTTTTTCTTTTTTCCACAGTAAAGTTACATGTCATCACTTTTCTACATGGGATAGTAATAAAGAATGGAGTCTTTCACTACCCTTGAATGAAAGCATTCAGGTATGAAAATATTCTAGTTCATTTTTCAAATTTAATTGGTGTATCTATCAAATGAGAATAAATTTATTTATTTTAGGTCATTGCTGCAAATGAGAGTTATGTGATTTTAGCTACAACTCAACAATATTTGCGTTTTTTTACAATAAGTGGAATTCAAACACAAATTTGTCATCTTCCTGGATCTGTTGTTACCATGGCAGTTCATGACAAACAACTTCTAATTGTTTACAATAGAGCTATTGGTATGTCAATGAATGTCTTAAATTAGTTATAAGACTATAATTAAATTATAGCTTCCAAGTTTTTCTTGAAGTCAAAAAAACACCTGTTTAAAATAATTTTTTTTTTAATTAATTTTGTTGTTTTTCAATTTTAACTGATATTTTTATAACATGTGTATTTGGAGCTGAGTTTTAATAATATTTTGCCAGCTAGCCTCTACTAAAATTCATTCTTGTGTTAATTGTCATTAAATTAAGTCTCATTCTTTTACTGTAACTGTTCACAAGTGCTTCAAAAATATTAATCTAGTTTCTTTCCTCGAGCATCAGTTCTTTGGATTTCACTTCCTTCATATTGCTTTCCTGATTCATATAAATTGCAATCTTTCAAATTGTCTGTTAATTGCTTTCTTGCTTATAAACGTCATCTTTTCTCTTCCATTAACTTTCAACTCTAATAGTGGTTGCTTGCAGCCTTGTTGGAAGGCTTGCCATTCTTAAAGTTATTGGCTCTAATACTACTGTTTAAGCTTGCATAATACCTACAACATTGCATAACATGTACAACATTGTGAAATACCTACAATATTGCATAATACCTACAACATTGCATAATACCTACAATATTGCATAATACCTTCAACATTGCATAATACCTACAACTTGGCATAATACCTACAAAGTTACATAATACCTACAACATTGCATAATACCTACAACATTGCATAATACCTACAACATTGCGAAGATCTATGCTAAAACATCTAAAGTTTTTGATTGGTAAAATGAGGTAAATGAGAACAACTTAAGGTGTGTTTTCAACTTTTTTTAACCAAATGAATAATGAGCATATTTGCTGTATAAAATAAAGTATATTTGCTGTCTTAAATAAAGAAACATATTTTGAAAAATAATCTAGGAAAAAAATTAGGATTTAATGTTTGAATCACAATCAATGTTTTTATTTCTAATGTCAATAAATTGTTGTGCAACCAACTTGTTTAAAATGTTTTTACTTAAGATGATTTATTAATGTTGTTCTATTGCTATTTCACATGCCCCTTTACTTAGGCTAACATTGTCTCTATTCGCATTATTAATGGTGTTCTTCATGGCTTCCTAATCATTGGATCCATTTGTTAAACCTTTTTTCATGTACTTGCATAGTATATTATCTTGTTATAAAATCTACAAAAAAAACTTTACTTGTTCACTTATTTACAACCTGACATGCTTAAACTCTACATTTTTTTATAGACTTTTATACTGACAATCGCATATGATGACATCATGAAGTATCTAAAATTTCTATTAACCCTACCCCAAAACCAAAATATGAAAAAAATACTAAAAAAGTTCATAGCATTTAAAAATACTATCAGATAAAATAATATTATAGTGTGGATTTACCTTATAACAAGGATTTACTTAGCTTTATTTACTTTTTGCTGAAAACTTAGGTTTACTACCTAAGTTACAGTATTCAAATTAAGAATAAAGTTAGTTTTTGTCCACTGTTTTGTGTTGTTATTTATAGTAAGAGTGTCCCAGATAGCATTTTAAATTATTTAGCTGAATGTCTGATAACCAGATGTTCAAAAATTATCCGGCCTGATAGTTCATTACACCAAATATCATAAAAAATAACCACAAAAAACAATTAGGAATTTTAATTAGGAAGTCTTTTAAAATAAATTATTCCTGATAATTGTTTTTTTTCTATTTCTTTGCTGCATAATCAGGAAAAAAGTTCTATCTTTAATTGTATGTAAAAAAAGTTAATATGAATTCTTCAACTGCATGAGGAAGTTCAAAATGTAGCGCATTAATTATATAGAAAATGTATGTAATGGTGAAAGAGATGTTCATTGAAGATTTTTATCATAAAATATATTAATTTTGAAACGTTAAAGCAAGTTCATAAATAATAATGTTGATAAGTCAAAGTTATCAAAAGATAAAAAAAAATATGATTTATTTAGATAACCATTCATTTAGTAAAATCATTTTCCAAAAATTATGGGTTTATTGGTTTAATGTTGTATTTGTAACTTTGGTAACTAATCCTGATTATTATTATCTTATTATTTAAAAATATAAACATTTTTAAATTTTTATTCTAGGTTTTCTTGTTTTTTTAATTCCCAAATGACTTTATTAAGTATCTAAATTGTAAATCTTTAAGACTGCAGCATTAGTGTGCAATATGCAACAAAAGAAGTTTTTTTTAATTTTTTAATTTTAACATAAAATATCCAGTATAGCCAAGTAGATAATGTTATTATTTATGTAGTTACCATATAATATTGCTATCTGTATCAGATGTTTGGCTGCAAATCTTATCTAGACAACCCCTAATTTATATTTACTATTATATGGATAAACATATTTATTCATTTGACAGGTGATTCTAGTATCTCTAAAACAATTTAAACAATAGTCAATTAGTGACCTGTAAAACTAACATAATAATAATAACAAATGAGAAAAGAAGAAACTAGAGAAACATCAAGAGAAACTCTTGATGTTTCTCTAGTTTCTTCTTTTCTTACAAGAAAAGAATTCTCACAAGAAGAAATTCATGAAGAAATCTTTAATGTCTGCATTAAAGACAGACAAGATGTCTGTCTTTAATGCAGACATTAAAGATTTCTTCATGAATAAAGCTGAATAACAATTTCATGTAAAAAAAATAGTTATATTAGACAGCATCCCATCTTTGTTGTTTAAATAACAAGTAAAGCAGTTTGGAAGTTTGTGAATCAATAACAAAATGATATAAAGCAATAACAAAATGATAAAACTCATATGTACTCCACTTTGAAGAAAAACTCCAAAATTTTTAATTAAACTTACATTAACCAAATGTAGATATCATCTAATCCAATTATTTTTGATGAGCAATGTAAGTGGAAAGAGTTCTGCCAGTTTTGTAGCAAATAGAGGACAAAGATATTGCTATAAACTCTCTAATAATATATCTGAAGATAAGCCTTTATTTTTGAAAGATTAAGTTACATTTGAGAATGTTAAGTTACATTTAATTTAAATTAAGTGAATATGTTACATATTTTACTACTTTTTTTGTCCATTTTTATTGTTTTTATTGTTTTTTGTCATTAATATTTTTATGTTACTTTTTATATTGCAAAATATACATACTTAATTATATACTTTTATCTTGCAGCCAAACCTTTTCAAAAAGTTTTAGATCAACCTCAATATTATATATATATATATATATATATATATATATATATATATATATATATATATATATATATATATATATATATATATATATATATATATATATATATACATATATATATATATATATATATATATATATATATATATATATATATATATATATATATATATATATATATATATATATATATATATATATATATATATATATATATATATAATATTCTTACAGGATATAGCAGTTACCATTGTCTTGGCGTACTGTGTATGCACTTCATAAAAAACAGCTGGAAAGTTTATTCAGACAATCCACTTAATTTAAGAGATCATCTTTCTTTAGTATGGTTAGGGTGAGTTTTAATGTTGTTTTAATCTTGAATGTTTTTAATTATTTAAATGTGGGAAAATTTTAAGTAGGTCGTTTAGTTGTTTAAACTAGGTGTTGAATACATGATTTAACATATAAAGTTTGACTAAATATGTAATTATAATATTTATTCCATAAATAATTAATTTGAATTAAAATATTTTAGGGGCAGTTCATATTTTCAAATTTTATTTAAATTTTATTATTTTAAGTTATTTTATGATCATATTTTTCCCACATTCTTAAATCCATTTTTTTTCCCAGCATTTAGCTATAATTTTTTTTTTTAATTTTACCAAAGTTTATATAAAATGTTTTTTTTTAGTTTTTCAACTGAAGGATCTCCAGTGTATGTAGATTCATCAGGAGATGTGTTTTTGTGGCAGAGACAAAATTCTTTATGGGTTCCAGTCACAAACACAAAAAGTCAGGTAAACAGTTTTTACTAAGTTATTGTATTATACAACCCTTGGAATTGGGAGAAATGTTACTTTTGATATGTTTGAGGTCGGCAATAAATTGTCGACCTCAAACACTTTTTTATAATTGTTGACTATGCAAATAAGTACTTTTAGATGATCATGTGATTTGACGTTAATATGACCATGTATTATAGTTCTATGCATTTAAAATTAATCAAGCATTTATAAAATACACACTCTTTGAATGTGTTTTGTATTAGTGTTTATATTTTTGGAATTTAAGAACGTTTTTGTGAAAGAATTCTGAGTTGAGTTTAGGTAATTCAAAACCCTGGGAGATCTATTGATAAATCCATTGATAAATATAATTTTTTTTTTTTTTCTTTTTTTTTTTTGTTAAAAGTTTAAAAAAATCTTTTTGAATTTTGAAAAAAATAGCTTTCCTTTACCAAGTTTTTCTTGACATTCTCCTTGCAGAAAGTCATTTTTTCTTGACATTTTTCTTGCAGAAAGTTATTTTTCACAAGTGATATTCAAAAAAATAATAATAATTTTAAGAAAAGTTAATGAAAAATCATGAAAAATTAAAGATTTATCTTTATTTGTATCTATAATTATCCAGTATCAGGCTGTCAAGTCGTCATTTTTTTCATTTTTTTCATTTTTTTTGGGTTCTTTTTTTTTTCTTTATTTTTTTTCATTTTTTTGTTAGTTTTTGTCATTTTTTCATTTTTTTCTTGAATTTTAAAGTTTTTTTTAAATGCTTAGAATTGCTGTTTTTGATATTTTTAAGTTGTTTTAGACATTATGTTACTTAGTTTTTTATTTAATTTTCAAAACTATTTTATAATAACAGTTACAATCTTTTATGTTCACATTTTAATTTTAATTATCCATTTTTATTGCTAAATTGGTGTTATTATTTTAAAAAATAAATCATTCTATAGTATAGAACTAGTAAAGTTAGTGATTTTTATATTTAGTTTTTAGTATATTTATCAATAGATTATATAGTATAATGGTTAAGTGGAATGATGTGTGGTTGGAAAAGTTAGACAAAAATCTAGTGAAAATCCAATTATGGGCTGAAAAAAGAAACTCTGAATATGCTATCTGTAAACTATGCAAAAGTGATTTAAAATTCAGTTCAGTTGGTTTCCAAGCACTATATCAGCATTCTTCAAAACCTAAACATAAGTCAGTGTCTGATCTAAGATTTTCAAAAACTGCTCGTCATTTTTTATATGTAGATTCTAACAAAAACTCGATTGGGGGAGAAAAAGTTATGCAATTAGAGTTCTCTATAAATGAAAAAATTTCTGCTGCAGAAGCCATGTGGCTTTTTAAAGTGGCAGAGAATGATCTTGCCTTAAGACATTGTGACAACACACCAATATTGTTCCAAAGAATGTTTCCAGATAGTAAAATAAGTCAAGGTTTTACTATGAGTCGGCAAAAAGCTTCATATATTTTGCAAGATGGCCTTGGGCCATTGTTGGAAAAGCGTTTAAGTAATAGTATCACGTTAAGTCAAGTTGCATTCACTTTAATGTTTGATGAAACAACTACTTCACAACAAAGAAAACAAATGGATCTTTTATGTCGTTTTTGGTCAGAAGACGAAAACCAAGTTGTTACAAAATATTTAACATCGCTGTTCTTTGGCAGAGCAACAGCAGAAGATGTCAAAACAATGCTAGCAGATTTACGTCATAATGAAAGGTTTTATTTACCATGGGATCGTCTTTTTAATATTTCAGCAGATGGTCCTAATATTAACAAAGCCATTTGGAGATTGTTAAATGCTGATCTTCATAGTAATGGTTTTAATGGCTTGTTACCATTTGTAAGTTGCACTTTGCACACAGTGCATAAGGCTTTTCGAAAAGCAATTAATGTTGTCGTTGAGGATGCTGAGCAGCTTGCATTTGATTTACATACCTGGTTCAAGGTAATGATTTGTGTAATTTTATACAGTAGAATCCCATTAATTCAGACCCTGGATAAGTTGGATTTGTACTAAGTCGGACAGATTTTCAATTCCCTTTAAGCTTTCTATACATACAAAAAGCTTAGCTTATTTGGACATTCGTTAAGTCAGACAATTTATCTATTCCCTGTGAGAGTCTAATTTAATGGGATTTTACTGCAGTTAATACTAAAAGAGAATTTTTTATTTTACCTATGAAGTTATTTTTCTTACATTATTATTATTTTTTATTTTAATAGTCTATTATATGACTAGCTAACAAAGTGTAGTGTCTCTATATAATTTTTTTCTGTTTTAGAATGCACCCTGTAAAATAGAAGATATTAAAAAATTATCACATTGCATTTTTATTGAAGATGAATCATTGTTTCTTCGTTTTGTCAATACTAGATGGCTCACTCTTTCTTCTTCACTTATAAAGGTTCTATTAAGGTGGGAAGACACCAAGAAATATTTTTTGGAATATATTCCAAAACAAAAGGAGTATAAAAAGACACTGACAAACAACAAGCGTTATATTCGAATTCAAAGAAGTCTTAGGAAAACTGAAAATGTAATTAAAGTTATTCTTCTTATTATTTTTTTTTGAATTATTACATATAATAGAGAATCGATTATTTTAGGAGTTACTTGTGTCCATCAAATTCCTTATTGGTTTAGCTCCCTTGTTTGAGAAATACTTGACAATATTTCAAGATGAAGGACCACTTGTTTATATTTTATTTTATAAAATGAAAAATCTTTTAATATCTTTAATGAAACTTTTCCTTCAACCGACTGCTGTTAATGGAAAGCTTACTAAAGATCTTTTAAAAATTGATTCTTCTGATTCAACTATCCACCTTGATTTGAATAAAATGGACTTTGGCGAGGAAGCTAAAAACCAGGTAATTTTTGATAGGTACACATTTGCTACATTTACCAGTTGCACATTTACTACCTGGTTAATGTGTACTTGGTAATTATGTATAAGTAAGTGTACTAGGCAATATAAACTATTTTGTTTATTGTATTATTCATTAGATATTTTATTATTAAAAATTAAGTTTTTTTATTCATTTTGATTGATATAGATTTTCAATATAAATATGTTTTAGGTGAACAAAATATCATGTGAAAAAAAAAGATTTGTCTGCTTACAGCAAATGAGAGATGGATATATATCTGTTGTAAAACACTTGCAAAAAAAACTTCCACTTGATTTGCAGATATTAAAAGATATGACTTGTTTGGGTGCTCAAATGAGATCAGAACCTTGGACTGTTAATGCAATTGGGCGAATAGCAGTTACGATGTCACATGTAATTACGGTAAGGGAGGTGAATATTTAAATAAATTTATATTAAATAACTGTAATAATATATATATATATATATATATATATATATATATATATATATATATATATATATATATATATATATATATATATATATATATATATATATATATATATAAACATAATTTCTAATTTGTAAATTAAACTAATAATAACTAAATTTTAAAAATTTTAAATAATATAAGTATTTATATTGTTAACATAATCTACTATATAATTAAAATAGCAGAGTACATTAACCATATAAATATATTATTTAACATTTTCAAAATTTACTAATTATTATTTTAATTTACAAATCAGAAATTGTTGTTTGTAAATTATTAGTTAACGAACAATTTAATTTTAATATAATTAAATTTTCCTTTAATTTTAAATGTTAACACTTTCTCCATAACAATTTTATCTTAATTTTTGTACAGGTATCATTTGTGAAAGATGAATGGAAATTATACCAAGCAGCTAATATATCAAAAGACTGGTATATAGATTTTGATACAAAAAAACTAAAAAGAGTAGACCATTATTGGGCTAAAGTTTTTGAAAGTAACAATGAATATGGAAAAACAAAGTATGGGTATCTCAGTAAAGTTGTTAAGAGCTGTTTAACAATTCAGAATGGAAATGCCAGTGCTGAGCGAAGTTTATCTGATAACAAAAATACATTAACTCCTGAGAGAGTAAATCTAAATGATGAAACATTAATGGCTTTGAGAATATCAAAAGAATAAGCAAGAAGTTGCAGAGGAGCATATAATGTTGATGCACTCTCCAAAGACTTTGTTCAAGCTGTTCAAAATGCTCATAAAATATATAAAAAAAGAAAAGCTGAAGAAGACGAAGAAAAAAGAAAAAGAGCAGAAAGAAATGCTTGAAAAAGTTGAAAATCAAAATAAAAATTTAGATCAACAGGAAAAAAGTCTAATGATGAAAAAAAAATGCAGATCTTGAGTTTCAGCTTGCTCAGAGAATGCTCGATGAAGCAGCAAAATCCATGCAAAGTGCCATTATTAAGGAAGACATGATGGGTATAAAAATTGCCCATGAAATGGTAAACAGCGCAAAAAGAAGTCTTGAAAATGCTACATCTCATAGAAATGAACGGAAAAAGTTGAGAGAAAATATTGGTTTTAAAACGTAAAAGTGAAATGGATAGATTAATTAAGTGTTGCAAAAAGTTAAAGTAGTCGTTAAAAGTTTGAAAGTTTTTTATAAATATAATAGAGCTTGAACTGTTAGTTCAGTTATAATTATTTAGCAAAATTTATTTATGTTAATTATTTTAGACTTTAGAAAAAACGTTTTATTCTGTGTTAAACAACAAAAAGATGTTGAGGTTTTCATTTTTAAAAGAAATTATTGATGGCGGATGATTTTGTTTGTTATTTTGTTTGTTATTTTCTAAATAAAATTATTGAACTTTTCATTTTTATAATGAAATCAGTCATTTTTTTTCATTTTTTGTCATTTTTATCCTCAAAATAACGTCATTTTTTGTCATTTTTTTCAAAAGTTGCTGCTTGACAGCCTGCAGTATAGAAAAAATAAGGTAGATAGAATTAATTATCCAGAACAGAAATAAATATGGTAGATAGGAAATAAAAAAGTAAAAAAAAAAAGTAAAAAAAAGTTATGCAATTACTCCTTGATTATTTTAATTGATATTTTAATATTTTTGTTCTATTATACTTAGGCAAAAAATAAAGCAGACAATTTTTGGGTCATTGGTGTAGAAGAGCAAGAAGGAAAAATAAGGTTTTGTTGTTTTTTATAGTGATATTTCATATTTAATTAGGATATGGAAAGTGTGTGGAAAAGCTCACACTTCCCACTGTTCATAATGATTGGATTTTAATAATCAGCGAATCAGAAACTTTTATATCAGATTGCTTGTCATTGTCATTCAACTGACAAAAATATAAATGTATAAAAAAATGAATGTAACAAATAAAAAACATTTTATTGCATTGTATCAAAATGACTGTTTGTAAATATTGTAAATAAGAATAATAGAAAAAAACTGTTGTTTTTGGTTTACTCAGTATTCAGTTTTTTTTTTTATGTACAAGGACAAAAAACTGAGTTAATAAAGTTTTTATAGCATGAAGGGACAGACACAGTAAAACGATGCAGCTGTTTTAATAAGAGGCAAAATAAGAATGAGTTTTGGTTTATGGTAATAGTGATGATAGCTTGTTTGAACGTTGAACATGAGTTCTATTTATCATTCCTTTTATTATTCTAGAATAATAAAAGGAATTGTTTATAAATATTGTTCTTGTAAAAAAAGATTGATTACTGTTTAACAAAGCAACTGCTCAAATGGTAAATAATGCGAAGTAGAATGAGACTTGACTTAGCATTAAAAAGAAGGAATAAAAGCTTCCAAAATGTGCTTTATGCATACATATTATGAATATAAAAATATTTTTTTGCTATTTATTTTGATGCTGGCAAACAATATTCTTTCATATTTAGATAAACTTTAGTATTTATATGGTGTAGCCTTTGTCAAAATAGAAGATGATCAGATGAATGTGTGTTGTAACTCTAAAAAGACAAGAAAAGGAGGCATAGTCTTAGACAGATTAGAAAAAAGCGTTTTAGGGGACAGCGTTTATTAGAAAAGATTTAGGTATCAGCATGTAGAAAGGTCAAAGTTTGGTAAAGAAAATGGTAGTATGAAAACTTGAAGAGAGTGCCTTATATATTGTATGAATGAGGTTTAGTTAAAGAAAGAAAATGCTTTAGATTGTTTATATTAGAGAAACAGCATAAAAAAGGAAAGCTAAAGCCTGATGACGACGATGATGATGATGATGATGATGATGATGATGATGATGATGATGATGATGATGATGATGATGATGATGATGATGATGATGATGATGATCATTATCACGATGATGATCATCGTCATCAGGCTTTAGACTCCTTTTTCATGTTGTTGATGATGATGATGATGATGATGATGATGATGATGATGATGATGATGATGATGATGATGATGATGATGATGATGATGATGATGATGATGATGATGATGATGATGATGATGATGATGATGATGATGATGATGATGATGATGATGATGATGATGATGATGAAATCATCATCATGATAATAATAATGATTAGAATGATCATTTTGATCATAATGATGTTTGTATATATATATATATAAAATATAACCTGAATTATAAAATTATAAAACCATTTCTTATATGATTTTTACATACGGGATGTATGGGTGTATGAAAGAGCCAGTTTTAAAAAGGTATGAAAAAAGTCAATTTTGATTAATTTAAAAAAAATTTTTTAGTTAAGTAATTACTTTATTGGGTGATATCATAAAAATAAAATAAATTGGATTACAATGCTAATAATCTGTCATACACCTCTTTTAAAAAAAGAGAGAAATCAGCTCTTTATTAACTGTAAAGTTTAGTAAATCGTAATTTAAAAACCGTAAGTTTTTTTCTAAAATTAAGAAGTCTTTTAAGAGTAATATAATAATCTGTTAAACTAGACTTCTAAAAATCAGATTGTAAATTAAGTTATATAATTCTATGATAATCAATGATAAAACAAATGATAAAACAGCTTTAATAATAGTTTCACTTTATTATTAAAAAAATATCCTCATATAATGTCAACGTCACTTTTCGTAGTTAATACTTATGAAGACATTTTTTTTTTTAAAGATAAAAAATATTAAATGAAAATGAGAAAAACAAAAGTATTAATATACACTAGTCAAAACTAGTGTATGTTAATACTATTAATACTAACTAAACACGATGTTTATAAAAAAATTAATATGCACTAGTCAAAAGAACAAATTGTTTTGACTATATCTTAAAGATAAATTTTATCTATGAATCATAGTGGTTATAAGGCATTTCACATATATTAACTATGCTAGTGATATATGAGTGAATACAATAATACAAAATCAGTTTTGACAAAATATTAGGAAGTTTGAAACAAAAATAAATTTTAATAATTAAAAAAAAATTAAAGCTTTATTAAAAACTTTATTCAAATACGAATAAAGTTTTTAAAATTCAAACGCACCTATGTTTTACGACCTCAGAAAAAATCATTCAAACAATTAATCTCAATAGAATATAATCAATGGAGCATTACAAAAAATAATGAAGTCGTTAAAGCGCAAAACAGTTATTTAATTTAAAAAAAAGCTAAATAGAAAAGGCCAGCTTTTTCATAGCATAAAAAAGTGGCTCTTTCAAAAAATTCTATGGTAAAAAAAATAACCTGAAATTAAACATTTTTTTACCAAAACCTATATATTAATTTTTACCTATTATTTGTGGAAAAGAAGGACACACATATATATAACAATGCAGCATATATGTTTTATCAAATAATACAATACTCTTTATCTTAAAAATAAATAAGTAAACCCAAAAAAAATTACTTTTTATTTTCAAAATTTTTAGTGCACCCTTACGACGCTATTTATTTGATAGAACTCTAAATTTTTTGTGGGTGACAAGTATCCAGCAATGCCACACAAAAAGTAAAATACAATTATGGTCGGGTGCCAGTAAATTAGATATAATAGCATCAGCTTTTTCAAAACCTGGCTTTTTCATACACACTTTCCCATACATACATACATACATACATACATACATACATACATACATACATACATACATACATACATACATACATACGTGTTTACATACATATGTATTTATCTATGTATATAAAATATAAAACCATTGTAAAAATGCATACATATATATATATATATGTGTGTGTGTGTGTGTGTGTGTGTGTGTGTGTGTGTGTGTGTGTGTATGTGTGTGTGTGTGTGTGTGTGTGTGTGTAATTGATTTGAATTTTTTTAAAAAGTTTTATAAATTTTACAAATTTTGTTTTAGATGCATACTTTGTAAAGGTGCAAATATTCCCTCGACATTACCAAGACCAGTTCCCACTTTCATACCATTCCAAGTTCCTTTATGTGAAATGACAAGTGAAAAATCAATAAAAGAAGTAAGTATGAAGCTTCATTTTTATCAGTCCTCAGAGTTAGAAAAAATAAGGTCAACAATAATTTACCGACCTTAATCTTTGTTTTTTGGTATTCTGTCGACAGAAAAAATGTAAAACAAAAGTATGACCAAAAACCTAGAAACGTATTCGGCAATTTTTTGCAGACCTCAAACACTTCGAGGTCAATAGTTAGTATAACATATATATATATATATATATATATATATATATATATATATATATATATATATATATATATATATATATATATATATATACATATGTATATATATGTGTGTATATATATACATATATATATATATATATATATATATATATATATATATATATATATATATATATATATGTATATATATATATATATATTATATTGATTTACTATATATAAAAGAAAAAATACATGATGATTTCTTTGAATATTGATTAATATATTTAGTATATTTTAAATAAATTTTAATCACTTAGTTACATAAGCTATTAGTCCCTATAAAGCAAAACCTAAACTATAGTCCTTATATAGCAGTAGCTAAACTGCTATAAAACCCCTGGCTTGCAACATAACTACTACATAGGCATGTAGCCTGCTACATGCCTTTATATAATTTATAATAAATAAATAAATTTTAATAAAAATATTATACTTGTGTTATAAAATCAAAAGTTAAAGAAAAAAACAATTTAACAAAAAAAAAAAATTTCAAGTTAAATATATTACCTGATTTTTGCATATCAAATCAAAAATTTTGCACTAAAACAATTTAATTTGGTATCAATTAATGTCAAATAAACTACCTGGGAGAATTATCGTAACTAAGTGCATTAAACAGTAACTAAGCGTATTAAATTATTCTATAATATAAAGAATTACAGTAAATTCCTGTTAACTTGAACCTCCAAGGGACCCCAAGTAAAACGGTTTGACTTAATAAATGTTTGACTTGAGTGAAGTAAAACAGCTGTTCTTGCTAAGTTATATTTAATAACCATTACAAAGACCGAAATGACTTAATTGATTAAATCTTTATTATTTCACATAAAAATCTGAAAATAAATTTGTACAATACAGTCTATTAAAAAGAGAAAATCAAGTAAATGATAATTAAAAAAGTAATGCAGCTATAAACTTACAGAGTTATGCCAAAATATGCTTTTTTATTCCGAAATATATGCTTTTTTTATGTCCAAATATAAGTTTATTTATGTAGCATAATATATTGACATATAATATAAGGTAATAAATATTGGAATTATCATTTATATAGAAAAAATCATAAAATAAAGTTTTTTAATCTAATTGGTGAAAATATTTTAATGTAGCATAAATAAACTTTAATAATTAATAAATTTTTTTGTTTGTTTTTTACAAAAAAACTTATATATTGGAATAAAAAAATTTATTTAGGAATAAAAAAACATATTTTGGCATCACTCTGTAATACAAAAATTAACTTATTTAACTTTTCCTTTTAAAAATTTTGAAATTATTTGCAGCCATGTTGAACATGGCTGCAATAAAAAACTGTTTTTATACTTATTCATTAATAACATTAGTTGAGAAGTCTTGAATCATCTCAACATTAGTTGAGAAGTCTTGAATCATCTCAACATTAGTTGAGAAGTCTTGAATCATCTCAACATTAGTTGAGAAGTCTTGAATCATCTCAACATTAGTTGAGAAGTCTTGAATCATCTCAACATTAGTTGAGAAGTCTTGAATCATCTCAACATTAGTTGAGAAGTCTTGAATCATCTCAACATTAGTTGAGAAGTCTTGAATCATCTCAACATTAGTTGAGAAGTCTTGAATCATCTCAACATTAGTTGAGAAGTCTTGAATCAGCTTTACACCCTTTCTGACAGATCACTTACCAGTTTTACATGTTGTACAATGTTTCAACTTCTTTTTAGTTGTTTTGCCTCTCAGTAAAAAGTTTATGCAGCCAGTCAGCTATAATTTTTAGAATGTAAAATGGAAACTAATAGAGGGAGGGGGCATAATAAACAATGTCCAGGTGCAAAGAGTAGGAAAAAATGAATAGTCTATTTCAAACTCTGATGGTTGAGGAATTTGGTGCGTGGTTTAAGCAATTGTCCATCATTTTTTAAAGAGGTTTTTTTAAAAACTGAGAGAACATGCACATTCTTTAGTTTAACTGGTAGTATCACTAGTGCCATTCTCTTGTTTTGTTTCAAAAGGTACCCAGTAAGCACAAGAAGTGTTTAACACGTCTAAAAAATGTATTAAAATGTTTAAATGTTTGTCAGAAGACTTGAAAAGTTGTAGGTTGTATGAGTCAGGAAAATATCAAATCGAAAAGAGTTTCAAAGGGTTGAAGTGCCGGGAAAAAAACTAGACGACAAATGGTTTTCAGAGCATGCAGAGACAGATACAATAAACAAATGAGACTTGACTGTGACAAGTCAAGCATCTATTTACACCACTATTTCAAGGAACTATAAAGTTAGGATTTTCAATTAAATCAAAATCAAATTTTTTTTTTTTTTAAACAAATATAAAAAGAAAGACTCCTTTTAAAAGCTTTTTGTTTTGCACAACTAATTTATTAAGTTTTGTTTTGGAATACCCTGCTCTGATAGGCATAACAGTAATGGTTCCAAAAGTCTTTTTATTTTAATATTACAAGTTTTGTAAAACAGTTTTTTTTTTTCTTTTTCTATGGGTCCAAATTACATCCCCATTGGTGGCCAATATATATATATATATATATATATATATATATATATATATATATATATATATATATATATATATATATACATATATATATATATATTAATTGATTAAAAACATCATGTTCGGTTATATATTATTTTTATTATTAAATAGTGATATTTCAACTTATATAGTATAAGCCATTATTAAACTAAAAAAACAGTTATACAAAGTTCATATAAACCAGCAAGCTGATATATATATATATATATATATCAGCTTGCTGATATATATATATATATATCAGCTTATATATATGATATATATATATATATATATATATATATATATATATATATATATATATATATATATATATATATATATATATATATATATAAAGTAGAAATTTTTACATCATTATTTCAAACTCTAACAAATTATAAGTTATAATTAAAAACTTATTGAGATTTTCAATTTCATATAATATAGTAAAAAATAATATATTTATTAACTCATTGCTCTCACATTTTAGATGGGAAATTTTTGATTATTTTTGTAACATTTTTGAAGTTCTCATTTAACTTAAGCTTGTACATATCGAAGTTTGGAGTTTGCACAATACCTGAAAGTGCCATATCTGAAACATTAAAAAATTTAGTTAGCACCCTTAGGGGGCATCTGCATCTTTTTTCCCCCTTGCTGAATTAATAAGTTGGTTTCAACGAAAAAATGAAAAAATATTTCCTTGACTCTATTTTAATCATCTAAGTCTTAATATTCACATGTCTATAAGTTGAAATATTTGTCAAACCAGTAAACAAAAAAAACGAAATTCCAAAAAATTTTATTGTTTCAAAATGTTTTATTAAAAATTTCAAAAATACATTTCAATTTTAAATTTATTAGCACTAGAGGCCTTTCAAAATATCATCAGTAATGCAGTTTTTGTTGTTGCAAACTTAATCTATACAAAAAAATTGTAAATTACACATGGTTTCTATGAGCAATTATTGTAAATGGATAAAAGCTTTTTTGCAATACAAAAAGCTTTTAAAAGCTTTTTGTATTGCACAACTAATTTATTAAGTTTTGTTTTGGAATACCCTGCTCTGATAGGCATAACAGTAATGGTTCCAAAAGTCTTTTTATTTTAATATTACAAGTTTTGTAAAACAGTTTTTTTTTTCTTTTTCTATGGGTCCAAATTACATCCCCATTGGTGGCCAATATATATATATATATATATATATATATATATATATATATATATATATATATATATATATATATATATATATATATATATATATATATATATATATACATATATATATATATTTAATTGATTAAAAACATCATGTTCGGTTATATATTATTTTTATTATTAAATAGTGATATTTCAACTTATATAGTATAAGCCATTATTAAACTAAAAAAACAGTTATACAAAGTTCATATAAACCAGCAAGCTGATATATATATATATATATATATATATATCAGCTTGCTGATATATATATATATATATCAGCTTATATATATGATATATATATATATATAATATATATATATATATATATATATATATATATATATATATATATATATATATATATATATATATATATATATATAAAGTAGAAATTTTTACATCATTATTTCAAACTCTAACAAATTATAAGTTATAATTAAAAACTTATTGAGATTTTCAATTTCATATAATATAGTAAAAAATAATATATTTATTAACTCATTGCTCTCACATTTTAGATGGGAAATTTTTGATTATTTTTGTAACATTTTTGAAGTTCTCATTTAACTTAAGCTTGTACATATCGAAGTTTGGAGTTTGCACAATACCTGAAAGTGCCATATCTGAAACATTAAAAAATTTAGTTAGCACCCTTAGGGGGCATCTGCATCTTTTTTCCCCCTTGCTGAATTAATAAGTTGGTTTCAACGAAAAAATGAAAAAATATTTCCTTGACTCTATTTTAATCATCTAAGTCTTAATATTCACATGTCTATAAGTTGAAATATTTGTCAAACCAGTAAACAAAAAAAACGAAATTCCAAAAAATGTTTTATTAAAAATTTCAAAAATACATTTCAATTTTAAATTTATTAGCACTAGAGGCCTTTCAAAATATCATCAGTAATGCAGTTTTTGTTGTTGCAAACTTAATCTATACAAAAAAATTGTAAATTACACATGGTTTCTATGAGCAATTATTGTAAATGGATAAAAGCTTTTTTGCAATACAAAAAGCTTTTAAAAGCTTTTTGTATTGCACAACTAATTTATTAAGTTTTGTTTTGGAATACCCTGCTCTGATAGGCATAACAGTAATGGTTCCAAAAGTCTTTTTATTTTAATATTACAAGTTTTGTAAAACAGTTTTTTTTTTCTTTTTCTATGGGTCCAAATTACATCCCCATTGGTGGCCAATATATATATATATATATATATATATATATATATATATATATATATATATATATATATATATATATATATATATATATATATATATATACATATATATATATATTTAATTGATTAAAAACATCATGTTCGGTTATATATTATTTTTATTATTAAATAGTGATATTTCAACTTATATAGTATAAGCCATTATTAAACTAAAAAAACAGTTATACAAAGTTCATATAAACCAGCAAGCTGATATATATATATATATATATATATATATCAGCTTGCTGATATATATATATATATATCAGCTTATATATATGATATATATATATATATATATATATATATATATATATATATATATATATATATATATATATATATATATATATATATATATATAAAGTAGAAATTTTTACATCATTATTTCAAACTCTAACAAATTATAAGTTATAATTAAAAACTTATTGAGATTTTCAATTTCATATAATATAGTAAAAAATAATATATTTATTAACTCATTGCTCTCACATTTTAGATGGGAAATTTTTGATTATTTTTGTAACATTTTTGAAGTTCTCATTTAACTTAAGCTTGTACATATCGAAGTTTGGAGTTTGCACAATACCTGAAAGTGCCATATCTGAAACATTAAAAAATTTAGTTAGCACCCTTAGGGGGCATCTGCATCTTTTTTCCCCCTTGCTGAATTAATAAGTTGGTTTCAACGAAAAAATGAAAAAATATTTCCTTGACTCTATTTTAATCATCTAAGTCTTAATATTCACATGTCTATAAGTTGAAATATTTGTCAAACCAGTAAACAAAAAAAACGAAATTCCAAAAAATGTTTTATTAAAAATTTCAAAAATACATTTCAATTTTAAATTTATTAGCACTAGAGGCCTTTCAAAATATCATCAGTAATGCAGTTTTTGTTGTTGCAAACTTAATCTATACAAAAAAATTGTAAATTACACATGGTTTCTATGAGCAATTATTGTAAATGGATAGGCCAGTTCTGCAATTAGAAATATGTCCGCTTATTCGTAATCTTAAATTATTAGTTTTACCAATATATGTGGCTTGTTTATAACATGTTAAACACTTAAGGTAATAAATTACATTTTTACTGTTGAAAGTGATATGACTTTTTACTTTCCATATATTACCATTAGAAAAACTAAAACTAGGGCCCTGCGAAGCTTCAAAATTTCGAATCGAATCATAAAAATGATTCAAGATTTGATTCAAAAATTTTCAAAAATCGAATCCTTAATTATTTTGTTTTTGTTGTGGGTATTTTAGATATTCTGCGCTTTTAAATACCTTTTTAATCAGTCATTAAAAGGTTAACCAGAGCAAGAAGTATCAATAAAGAGATTATTTTATTATATTTTGAAATATGTATTATTAAATAAAAAATGCTGAAATTTAGACTTCAAAATGTTGATTCGAAACGCGAATCAAGATCCTCTTTGATTCAAGATTCGATTCGAAATAAAAACTTCTGATTCGCAGGGCCGTATTTCAAACTTATCTACTTTTTGAAGATAGAGTTAGCAAGTTTTGCATCGAATATCTTTGCGTTTGAATAATCAAACTTTCTTGTTGGTTATTTCAATATTTGAAAAAGTTTTTTCAGTAAATTAGGATAAACAACCTTCTAATTTTCTCAAAAAACTTGCGCAAATATACGCAAGTTATCATTTATACGTTTGTATATATATAATAAGAGAGAGATTTCTTCTCTAGTTTTTTAGTGCAATTTTTAACACAATAAAATATAAAAAGATACTAAGCTTTTTAATATAAGTTAATATAAATATAAGGCTTGAAACATTTCATAATTTTCTATAACAAGAAAGTGCAAACCTTACAGCCTAGCACCTAAAGTGCGCAACCTCTGCCATCATGAAAAAATTTTAGTTTTATGTTACTTTAAAAACAATCTGCTCAAAAAAAAAGACAATATTATAAAAGCATTTGAAAGAATTTTTAATTTTGTTACAATTAAAACAACTTGCTTGCTGAAAAAGAAAAAATATTATCGAAGTGTCAACACTCAAACAAATTTTTGTTTCTCGTTTGATACTGGTGACTAAGTGGTTGCATCTTTTTTATTATGTCGTTTTGATGCTGGTGACAAAGTGATTGAACAT